GGTTTCGCGAACGCAGGCTGTTAAAAGCCTGTTTTGTGCTTTTTTGAGGGGGGAGATGAGTTTTGGATCCCAAACACCCAAGGGACGAACCAAAGAGAGAGAGTGCGATTTGAGGGCTCTCTTGGAGTGGAATTGGTGGATTTCTTCTCCTTGAAAGCTCGAGGAACAAATCCGTACTTGAAACTGATCATCGAAAGATTCTTACCGCATTCTCTCTCTTCCCTATGGAGTAACTTCCCTTCACTTAGGTTTTGAGGAACCCTAGCCATGTTTGTTTGATTGGATGATTTTATGAGTACTCTTACTTTATAATCTTGAGTTCATATTCAATCTATGCATGTTTTCATGATTCAACTATGCTTTAGTGGAGAATATTGATTATGCTTTGATCCTATGAGAGAGAATACCTAATTAGGTCAATAGAACACCATAGATTGATAGTATTGGATCAATTTCTTTAGTCGAGGGTTGATTCACTGCTTTTTATCAATTGAGAACCTCATTCGATAGAGGGAATCTAGTTCCAAACGCCTTGATCGGTAGTTCTAGAGAAGGATACGTCCCTCTAGGCAATTGACTCAAGAGGGCCTTGTTCCTTTAGTCGAGACTCAAGGTCTAGTTAAGGATTCTCCGCATTGTGAATGAAAGTGAAATATGGCTAGTGGCTAGGGGGAATCATATCTAAGTGAGTTCCTAACTTGTAATTAGATTAACGTTAACTGTAGTTCGTTAGAGTAGTTTTAGTTCTTTCATCTTAATCTGGTTTGCTAGATAATGAACTGAAGCTGAGTAATAGTAACTCTATAGACCCGTGGATTCGATATTTATTACTTGAGCCACTATACTACAGTCCCTTTCATTGGTTACACTTGGCCTTTGTTAGGAGTTGTGTCATAGCGAGTCAAGTTTTTGGCGTCGTTGCCGTGGACTTTCTAGATTATTAGGAAAGGCAGAAGTTTGTTACTTTAGCGTTTTTCTTTTCTTTTCCACCCTTACTTTTCACTTTGGTTTTTTTGTTTTTGTTGGTGCATATCTGAATCATGGATCCTCATGGCTTCTCCAACCATTGGGGGTATCCACCACCATCCGAGTGGTATTACCCCGAGACTTCCTGGAGCAATCAAGCAGGACAAGACTATGGATTCGGGTTCCAGTACCAACCCCCTTATTACGGAGAACAATCAGACCCCTGGGCATATCAAGAACAACCTCCTTATCAAGAAGAATTTCTCCCACAACTAGAATGGCCATCGGAGCTGGAGTTAGCCATGGTGGCCTTCACGGGCCATTCTGCAGAGCCATGCTACACTCCACAGCCAGATCCAAACTATGTATTGAGGCTTCTCGTGGAGCAGTTTGCTCGAGACATTAAGAGATCATACTCCAAGATGGATCTTTGTACCCAGGCCATGACCCGAACTGAGTTCGCCTATCATGAAACAGAGGAGATCCTCCTGAGCATTAAGAAGAGCCTCGAGGATCTTGAGAAATCTTATGTGCAGCCTACTCACAATCACCCTTATGCTACCATACTAGAAGAGGAGGAGGAAGGCAAAGGCTACGAAGACATTGTGGAGCAGACAGAAGTTGTCACAGAGAGCTCCCATGATGATCATGATAAAGAATGTCCGGTTGTAACCGACCACACCTTCCCACATCGCACACTGAGCTTTGAAGAGGCGGGCATGAGTGAGGAGATGCAAGATGATCTCATCGAAGAAATTTCTTTGTGACTTGCTCTCCAATCCGTGTTGGAAGAAGAAGAGCATGAAAGGGTGCGGAAAGAAGTTGTGAAGGATGACAAAAGTGAAGCAGAAGGAGTTCTTGATCCTTTCTCGGGGGTGATACCACATTTTGAAGAAGGAAGGGGGGTTGAGGAAGCAATTGGCGTCCAGGAAGCAGATGAAGTTGAGGTGGAAGAGGCTTGCACATGTCATGAGTTACATGTGATATCTCCACCAAACTTCGAGGAGCTGCTTGGCAAGGACCCATTTGCAGTGTCTTTTTGTCAAACCAAGGCTACATCGACATCGGTCCCTCTTGGTAGACGCGATGGTGGTCAATCGATGTTGTCATACCTAGTTTAGGGCAAAAGACGGAAGAAGAGAAGAAGAGGTCTCGAGGGTGAAGACTTCATCTGCATCAAGTGCACGAGCTTTCATCACTTGTCATACCACATGCTCATGACTTGAGACTACACCTCATCAACGAGAACCTCAACTTCAAGGAGTTTTTGGGGTGGACCGAAACTTAGGAGTCATCGTCCGGTTCATGACGTGAAAGAAGCGCTTGTTGGGAGGCAACCCAACCAGTCGGTTTGCATTTATTTGCCTATTTCTCTTCGGTTGATTCAATTTTTTTCTTTGATTTTAGAGTCCATAACTCAACCTTTATGAGATTTTGTGTGGTGTTTGTGTTCCGACTACTCTCTACTCTTGGAATGCACCGCCTACCCCGTCCACCATCATTCACACTTGATCTGGTAACTTCGTTCTACCCTCCTTATCTTTCCTCCATTGAGGACAATGTCGTGCTTAATTATGGGGGGGGGGGGGGGATGTTCGATTATATATGTGTGTGAACGTTTGGTTGTATGTGTGTGCTTGGAGCCTAGTCCACTGTCCAAATCTTTAAATTTGAGGGTTCCAAGCACGTGTTCCTTGCAATCGCCTGCTCAATATGCTTTAAATTGACAGTCTTTATAGTAATATGCAACCTAGGGAGGTAGTGTAGCACTATGGAGAATGTTGATGCATTTAAGAATTCTCCTTTCTTCTTCATATTGTGTTGGTTGATTGTGTGAATTAGTGATCTTAGGACCCTTGAATTGTGTGGTATCGTGGACTCTCTACCTGTCATGGACTCCTCTATCATGTTTTGAAAAAAAGGTGCTCTAAATTGTGCTTTTAAAATAACGTCTCCCGTGCGGAAAGCGGTGAAAGTGTGTAAGGAGAGACGAGAATTCGTTCCCAACTTCCACCTACTACCTCCAGCCCACTTACACCCCAGCATGAGGCTCGAGACATCTGCTCCCGCCATGGCCGGTAAGAGCGGGGCTCCCTCAAAAACTTTGCTAGGTGAGAGCCCCATTATCTGGAAATAACAGGTTGGAACCCTTGCAAAAGAAGAAATAAAAAACAAACAAGAAACAAGAAAATTAAAAAAGGGGTTCCAACCATCTTCATGAAAAAAAATAGAGCACCTTTTAAAAGTGAGTCCATGATCTTTCTGTTTTTGGGAGTCTCTTTGTCCACGAATCACTTGTCCTCCGATCACTACTTGGCATGATCCTGACTCGGTACTAGAGTTCTCGACGAAGAAGCTAGGGGGTGTCTTGTGCGTTGGTTGACCTCGTAAGCTGCTAAATGATCTAGGAAGTCCTCTACCGAAGATCAGGGTTGCGTGTCGCTGTAGAGGTCTGGAGAGTAGCATTGGTTTGAGTTAGGTTTGCTTGGCGACAAGCAAACGGTTAAGTGTGGGGGGGATTTGATGACTCGAAATTTGCACATATTTTCCCCTTTGTTTCTTGATCGTTTAAGCTTGAATTATCGCTTCTTTGGCCTATTTTACGCTAGGTTGTGTTCCTTTGTCACATTTCAGGTCCTAGCACATAAAGTGAAGTATAGGCGCAAGTTTCAAGTCAATCGGAGATCAATTGGCAACTCGGGAGAAGAAACTCGGGCATGACTTGAAGAAGAATGGATTTCTACCTCACTTTGTGACCATAGCATCATGTAATTTTTTCATGATAAGAAAGAGAACGAGACTACTAGCGTCTGGGATCAAACGACACCTGATTTGGAGTCCGAACCAGTGGCGGAGGGAGAGGGTAACAGGGTGGGTCACGGGACCCACCCTGATTCGGGTGGAAAATGATTAAATTAGGTATGATAGTTAATTGATATTGAAAACTAGGTCGCGTTTAATTGAGAATAGTTGGTCGAAAAGTTTTGTGTTTGAATCTTGGCGACCTCATTTCTTAAGCATACGGTGTACAAATTTGTGCAAACATCAATTTTGTATAAGTTGACTTTCTTATAAGGGACCATGGTAGTAAATGGTATAATATATTATTGAAATCTTCCAACAACTCGATTTATTGATACTAAATATATTTTTTAACAACATCATTCGAAAGCGAACGACTAGGTAAATTATAAATTATTGGTTGGTATAAGATTTATTATTAAATCTCTATCAACAATTTGAGGTATTGATACTAACGGTTCTTAACAAAGAACTACGACTAACTAAATCAATGATTGTTTGGTATATATGTCGAGTGATATTCTTGATATTTTCGACTGCTAATGCAATTTAATTTATCAAAAATTTTCAACGTAAGATTATATTAAAAAAACTATTTCATCATATTTATTTTTTTCGTGGTGGACCCACCTAAAACGAAATCCTGGCAACGCCACTGGTCCGAACGAGGGAGAAACGGAGAATCAAATATAGGGGACCCGAGAGCAGAAGCGAGAACAGGAGCGCAAGAGCGTCTAGTTCTCAAGAATTTGATATTGAGAGCGTCATTGTTATATTTATATTTTTGAATAAAAATTACGACTGTTATATTAACAATGAGTGATTACACTGTTAATACTATTTTCCTAACTAATTGGGAAAATAATACTACCCTATTATGATATGAACTTTGGCGTAACTTTGAACTGAACTTTTTGGCCAACTTTTAAAAGTTCGACAAATTTGACCCGAAATTTGGATTAACTGTTAATATTGACGATCAAACGTGTTTTCAGTCCGTTACTCAACATCGATATTGAACTAGTTTCACGTGACATCCATGTCATTTATTTATAAAAAAAATTCGACAATTTAGAAAATGAAAAGGAAAAAAGACCAAAGAATGACCTTGCCACAATTTTTTTTATCTTATCTACTTCTCACCTTCAATCGTAGATCTTACCAAAAATGGGTATTCCATAACTGCTCCGCTCAATCCACATGCTATAAACCAAACCACTTCTTCCACAAAATGCTTCTTCCTTTGCCGTATATTTCATCTTCTAAATCATCTCCCCAGACACGGAGCAAAGGTGGATTCGGCCTCGCCATTATCTTCGCCACCTCCACCAAATTCCCCGCCGCAAACCGGGCCCGCCCCGTTGGCCTAAAAACAGAGACAGTCCAAGCTAGTGAAGAAGACTCCAAGTGGCGTTGACTTCACACCGTCGTCCACTTTTCGTGTTTCACATTTCTAGCTTTGGCTTGATGTTACATCAATTTGGTTCCCAAATTAAGTCCCCTAATCATAAAGTGGGACGGAAGAGATTTCCCAAAGCATCATCAATCATGGCATCTCGAGTGATAATCGCCACAACAATTCTTCTCTGCTTTCTTCTTCACCTCCTTCCCCACTTCCCAGTACACGCCACCACAATCTCCGGCAGCAACAGCAGCAGCAGCAACGACGCCGGCCACCGTGACATCGACTGCCTGAAATCAATCAAGTCATCGATCGCCCTCGACCCACTTGGCCGCCTGACGTCATGGGACTTCGCCAACGACACCAACGCCGGACTCTGCAAATTCCCAGGAATCGACTGCTGGCACGCGAGCGACAACAAGGTCCTCGGCATCCATCTCCCCAACTTGGGTCTCGCCGGAGAATTCCCACGAGGGATTGAGAACTGCGATTCCATCACCAGCTTGAACCTCTCCGGAAACCAACTCTCCGGCCAAATCCCATCTGACATCGCCACAATGCTCCCCTTTTTAACCATCCTCGACCTCTCCAACAACAACCTCTCCGGTGAAATCCCGGCGAGCTTGTTCAATTGCTCCTACCTGAACGTTGTGAGGCTTGATAAGAACCGGCTGACGGGCCGGATCCCTGATGGGATTCATCAGCTTGACAGGCTGAGGAACTTCAGCGTGTCGCATAATTTGTTGTCGGGGCGCATCCCTGCTTTCGAGAGAATGCAGGGGATTTGGGCTGCGGGAAGCTTTGTCAACAATTCAGGGCTCTGTGGTGTTCCTCTGGATCCTTGTTCACCTTCTCCTGGCCCAACCAAAGCTTCCCAGTTTCTCGGTTTCTTTAGAAATGGCTTCATCGTTGGCTTCGCGGCGGTTGAGCTGTCTGTTTTGATCTATGTCTACTGGTTTTACATCCGTAATTCCAGAGGGAAGAACAAGGTCGGAGTTGGGATTTGCAGGCCCGTAGCCGATTATGGTCGCGGCAGGAATGTAAAGGTGTGTGTAATTGTTGCCATTTTTCAGTATATATATATAGTTGTTACGAATTCAAATTTCAAAGCAATTGATACGATTAAACTTCAGATCTCCGTCCTGGAAACCCTGGTGACGAGGATGAGCTTCAAGGAACTCTGTGCAGCAACCTCCAATTTCAGCGCAGAAAACATCATTGGCAGTGGAACCACCGGAATCATCTACAGGGCAATGCTTGCCAATGGCTGGTTCCTAGCAGTCAAGCGCCTCCACCATCCAACAGTAGAACAACACTTCAACAACCCCCATTACTTCATCTCGGAGGTCATGACTTTAGGGAGATGGAGGCACCAGAACCTGCTACCGATCCTCGGATTCTGCATCCACAACAGCGAGAAGCTACTTGTGTACAAGTACATGTGCAATGGCACCCTCCGCGACTGGCTTCTCGGTGGCAACGATCGCGATTTGAAGTGCCTCGACTGGCCCGTGCGGTTCAAAATTGCAGTCGGGCTAGCCAGGGGATTGGCCTGGCTGCACCACTGCTGCAGCGTTCAGATATTCCACCTAGATCTCACTTCCAGGTGCGTGTTGCTGGACCAAGGGTTCGAGCCGAAGCTGTCGAATTTCGGGCGCGCCATGTTCGTGAACCCGAACGATCACGACGATCGGTCGGGGAATTTGGTGCTTGGTAAGGGGTTTTTGGAGCTGGGTTTCGCGAAGAAAGATGTTCACAGCTTTGGGGTTGTGGTGTTGGAGCTGATTGGTGGTAGAGAAGTAAGTGTTGGCGAGAGCTTTGGAGACCAAATTGATGAATGTGTGGCTGGGAAAGGTTACGACGGGGAGATTGTTCAGGTGATGAGAGTTGCAAAGGATTGTGTTCAGCCGATGGTCGATAAAAGGCCGACGATGCTTCAAGTGGTTCAGAGGCTAACCCAAATTGAACAAGGGTGTTGCGGTTGCGGTACTGATGTGCAAGGTTATGAACCGGTTGTGGTTCCCTCAGTGGTGATTGAAATGGGCCAAGCCATTGGGTCTAAATATAGGTAAAGTAGTATGTAGATTTGAAGTAAATACTATGACCTTAACCAACTTTTTGAGAGTACTAATTTGTCCTAATATCAAAATGTTAGATTCAAGTGAAATTGAATACATCCTCGATTGGAATGTGTAATGCCCCATCCGAAATCTTTATGGTTAAAGTTATGTTCATTCATGCAGATGCAACAAACTCTATTGATGTTAAAGTTCACATTGAATGAAGTTAAATTACCGTTAAAAGTTGAAGAGGAGAACTTCACCATAATATGGTGTAAAATCCAACATCTTGAGATTTCCAAAATATTATCTTATTATTAGATCATCCAAAATTACACAACTAAACATTAGGCGATTTGGACATTACTATAATACTAATGGTCTAATAGTTCAAATTTTAAAATCACTGATAATCATGGAAACATCAAGTATCAATAGATTAATATACGAGATTCAAACTCACAATCCGCTTATTAAAAGTGAGATGCCTTTTTCATTAGGCCACCGACGGTTTTACATCATTGATAGCTACATAAAAATTATGACTAAGTTATCCAAGTAATGTGTCAAAAAAAAAAAACTAACACTAAATTGATTTAATCCAAAGTTGCATTTAGTACTTCCAGACTCTAGTACGCACCGGTGAATAAAGGAAATGCTAGTGGCACTTCCTCCCATCGCTTCCTCTCATCACCTAGGCTTTCATGGTTATCCCTGTACCTGGGACATCGTAGGAAAACAGAGAGGTTTGTAGAAGAAAGACGGGATCGTTTTGTGGCAACAGATGAATGGCAAGAACTTTTCCCGAGGTTCGTGTGATCCACTTTGATCAAGAACGGTCATATCATCGGCCACTAATATGTGACCCTCAGGTATAAGCTAGCATTGATGTTAAATGGGGTTGACACTTTAAATTCAAACCGCAGTGGACTCGATATGACAGCTGTAGAAAAACCATTCAACAGGTCTGGTCGGTCTGGGTCTCGGGGATCATAGTAGGACGATGGAAAAGCTGGATGAATGTGGTGTGAAGCTTGATCAATGGAGCAAGGAGGCCTTCCCAAACTTTCGTATCCAGCGAGCAAAGATTAAGAAGGCACTTTGATGACTCGATATTTACACATGTTTTTGTCCACCATTCTTATACTGTTTGAGGCTCGGATCTCGAGTTTTAAGTCGATTTTGCGTTAGGTCGTTCTTGTTTATGACATTTCATGTCCTAATGCGTGAATGAAGATTTGAGCATGAGTTCGGGGTCGATTGGATGAAGACGGGACGAGCGATGGAGAGCAGATGAGTTGCACGGCTAGTCCGGGAAGACACACGGCCGTGCAAGCAAAGATGCGCGAACAGGCCGTGCACGACTTAATTTCTGGCCGTGATGAATTCTGCGAGGAGCTGCACCGCCAGGATTGCACGGGTCGTGCAATGGTCGTGCACTCCCCTCGCGGAACTAATTCAAACGCTGTGTTTTGGTTGCATGGGCAGCCAAGGATGTTGCACGGCCGTGCGGCCTGACCCTATAATCGCGGGCAACTGCATTTTAACCCAATTTCGGGTTTTGGAGAGAGGGAGCTGGGTTTTGGATCCCAAACACCCAAGGGACGAACCCTAGAGAGAGAGAGAGCAACTAGGGATCATTTTTGGAGCTATTTTGGAGGATTTCTTCACCATTGAAGCTCGGGAATCAAGTTTGGAGATGGAGATTGAAAATCTAGATAAGATTTCAGCATTCTCTCTCTTCTCTATGGAGTAACTTCCTTTCACTTAGGTTTTGAGGAACCCTAGCCAGGTTTGTTAGATTGGATGATTGTATGAGTACTCTTACTTGATAATCTTGATTTCATATTCAATCTATGCATGTTTTCATGATTCAATTCTGCTTTAGTCGAGATTATTGATTCTGCTTTGATCATATGAGAGCGAATACCTGATTAGGTCAATAGAGCAACATAGATTGATAGTATTGGATCAATTGCTTTAGTCGAGGGTCAATTCATTGCTTTGTATCGACTGAGAATCTCATTCGATAGAGGAATTCTAGTTCAGAACGCCTTGATCGGTTGTTCAAGAGAAGGATACATCCCTCTAGACAATTGACTCAAGAGGGCCTTGATCCTTTAGTCAAGATTCAAGGTTTAGTCAAGGATTCTCCACATTGTGAATGAAAGTGAAACAGGTTAAAGATCATCAATCATTAATCTGGCTAGTGGCTAGGGGAATCATACCTAAGTGAGTTCCTAACCTGTGATTAGATTAACTTTAACTATAGTTTGCTAGAGTAGTTATAGTTCTTCTATTTTAATCTAGTTTGCTAGATAATGAACCGAAGCTAAGTAATAGTAACTCTAGAGACCTGTGGATTCGATATTTATTACTTGCACCACTATACTGCAACCCCTTTCATTGGTTACACTTGGCCACTATTAGGAGTTGTGTTTTAGCAAGTCACTCTTCGTAAACTTGACTAGATGTGCAAGACAAATGCAATGTTAGATCAAAGGAGGTCCCTGGAGTCAAAGTTGTCGCCCTGGATCACGATGAGGAACAATACTAGAAAGAGAGATCAATGTCCGATTGGCTAAAAGGTGGGGATAAGAACACTAACTTTTTCCACCAGAAAGGCTCGGCTACAAAGAAGAGGAACATAATAAAAAAAGTTGCAGGATGAATCCGAGAAATGGTACGTGGGATGTGAAGAGCTTTTTGCATGCAAGCGTGTGTATTTCTCGCCCCTCTTCATCGCTGGTCTGCCACCAATATCAATGCTGGTTCTGGATTCCATTATTGAGGTAGTCACGAGGGAGGACAATGAGTTACACCTTACGACATTCGAGCCTAAGAAATTTTATCTAGCTTTAAATCAAATGGGAAAAAGGAAGGCCTCGGGGGCGGATGGCCTCTCTATTTTGTTCTACAGACAACATTGGCAAATCATAGGTGGCGAGGTAGCTTAAGTAGTTATCTCGTTTCTGAATGACTTTGCCTTTCCCGCAAGACTAAACCACACACTAATTGCCTTAATCCCGTAGGAGAAAACTTCATTGACACCAAAGGATTACATGTCAATTAGCTTATGCAATGTGATGTACAAATTGGCATCGAAAGTCTTGGCTAATAGACTTAAATGAATTCTTGATAAGGTACTATCCCCGAACTAGAGTACTTTTGTGTCTGGGCGCTTTACCATTGACAATGTCATGGCAGCTTTTGAGTGCTTCCATGCAATGAAAACTAAAGAGAAGGGACAGTGTGGAGCTTTTGGAGTGAAGGTAGACATGGTTATGTCTTATGATAAAGCGGAGTGGAGATTTCTGGAAGGGGTAATGAGGAAGATGGGTTTTGAAGAGAGGTGGGTGGAGTTGATTATGATGTGTGTAAGCATGGTGACATATTCAGTACTTGTGAATGGGTATCAGTCATAATGCATTATCCTCACGCGTGGCAAATCAACGTCCATAAGTCCAAAATTTCTTTCTATGAGAAGGTCTCACACCGGTGAAAAAAGGAGATCAAGGAGAGGTTGGTAATGACAGTGGTACATGAATATGGAAGTACTTTGACTTGCCAACCGAAGTGGGTTGATCCAAAAAAGAGTGCTTTGCTAGCTTAGTGGATAAGATGCGAAAAAAGCTGAATGGGTGGAGAAAGAGTACCTTATATGTAGCTTCTAGAACTGTCTTAATTAAGTCAGTTGCCATGGCGCAACTCACACATGCTATAACGTTTCCAATCCCATAAGGTATCATTTCATAAGTACATTGCATAATTCGCAACTTTTGGTGGGGACAAAGAAAGGAGAAATACTGCCTACCTTGGGTTAGAAGGGATGAGTTATGCCTCCCAAAGAAAGAGGGATGAATTGGTTTTCGCGATCTAGGGGGGTTTAATACTCCCATGTTAGCGAAGCAACTTTGGAGTATCTATCAACGTCCAAGCTCCTTAATAGCACAGATGTTGAGGGTAAGATACCATCCAAATGATGAGATCCTCGACGCTGAAGTGGGGTATCACCCGAGTTATATATGGTGATCCCTCATGAGTGCGCATGAGTTTCTTCAACAAGGCCTTCGCTGGGTTGTCGAGAATGGAGCATCGATTCAGTTTTTGGGGAATCGATGGATCCAAACGGTACTAGGCTTTTTTGTTCTGTCAGCTCCCAAGGTACTGCCGATGAACGCCAGAGGTTCCGGTACTTGATTAGGGTGGAGGAGGAAGCATGGGATGATGATCTCATAGAGCGGTGCTTCCCACCGGAGGTTGCTGCTGCAATTGTTCATATTCCTCTTCGGGTGTACTCATGACCAAGACAGAATGATGTGGGTGGATTCAAACAGCGGCCAATACACAATCAAGGTAGGCTATAAGACGTGGCCCCACATGAAGGTGATACTCTCTCAAGCGAACACGATTGGGGATGCCTAGAGTTGCAAAAGCTTATGGGTTTAAATATGCTGCCGAAAGTGAAGTACTTTGCATGGAGATTCATCTGCAATGCATTGCCCATAGGAGCTAACTATTGTAGAAGGGACGAGAAAGGAAACCATCGATGTGCTTTCTGCAATCTTCCTGAGACACAGGTGCACTTGTTCGGGGAATGTGGATGGACGACGAGAATTTGGATGCAAACAAGTTTGTCTTACCTTTCTTTCAGTCGCACCAACGAGAATTGTGTAGACTAGTTTGAAAAGGCTATTGCGCTTGGGGGAAGCAAGTGATTTGGGAAAATGGCCCGTGTTAATGTGGTTCCTATGGAAGGAATGAAATGCACAATGGACAGAAGATGGAGGACGACCAGATTGTGGAGAGAGCAGAATCCTTCAAGGACTACCAGGTACACCAGGAAAGTGAGAACAACATGGAGGCGATTATACATTCTACGGCGTGGATTCGTCCACCTGCACAAGTGACGAAGATAAACGTATATGCAGGAATGGTGATGGGAGGATGCATTTGTCTTGGTATGGTAGCATGAGATGATATTGGGACGTTTCATTTGTGATGCAACCAAGAAAGTCCGAGGAAATTGGGATCCAGAGGTAGCAAGGGCAATGGCGTTGGAGTTTGCAATCCAACTAGCGGACAACCTTCAAATTTTGAATTACCACCTGGAGACAGACTGTCTATCCCTGGTGTAGAAGCTTTGCTGGTCAGACATAATTTTAACTGAGTTTGGAATGCTGTATGCAATTATCAAGAGGGCTTTGGGGCCTCGGTATGAAGGGAGAATCTAGTTTGTCCGAAGAATAGGAAATGAGGCGGCACATCTGATGACCAAATGTAATACGAATTGGAACACGCCAGTGGTTTGGCTAGATAGACCACCTTTAATTTTGATTGATCAACTACTGCTGGATGATGTATGAACAATTCTTGATTAATAAAATTTCTCGCAGGTTTCTATTAAAAAAAAGCAATGATAGAGAAGCAATATGGGGACTGGGGACGAAAAAAAAAATACAAACATACTCACGCCTAGTGGGATGCAAACCCACAATCCCCTGATTAGAAGTCAGATGCCTTAATCCATTAGGCCACGGGCGCTTGTTATTAATTATTTTATCATAAGATATAATTAAACACAAAATCGTTAAATTCAAGTATTAATCTATTGAAGTATTATTTCCCCTGGCTAAAAAAATCACTAACAAAGAAATCATCAAGTGAATAAAACAAATTGGGGAAACGGCCATACTGGATCGATCTCAGTCGGTGTAGTTAGAGACGACCGCACCGGGCAATGTGGCCATGGCCTCCGACGAAGGTTCTACATTAGGGGAAGGAGCAACCGGCTTTCCGAGAAGCTCACCGGGCAAATCAGGGATCCCTTTGAGGTAAAACGTGTAAAAAAGCTTGAATGGAAACACAATCTGGTGAAGCTTGACCTTCCCAGAAACCCCTTGGAAAATCCCAGTTCCTCCGGTCACCGCCAGGGAAGTGTCCTCGTAGGTCAGATACGGCCCCTGAACCGAGATGTGGCCGTAATCCCCAAAATGGAAGCTGTAGATTGCCTCGTAGCGATCCCCTTTCTTCTCCGGGACGTGCTGGATCGGCACGCAAATTCCGGCGGTGATCCCCAGCCGCTTCTTGAGGTCCCCGGAGTATAACTTGTTGGAGAAAGGGACCAGGTCGCCGAGCGCGAGTTGACCAGGTTTCTGACTGAGTTTCAGCACCACTGGGCTTCCCCTGTCTCGCTCGTTCATCTCGTACACGTTCAGCTCTTGGACTTTGGACCCTGCTCCTGATGCTGCGAAACAAACCCAGGATGAAATCGACAGACTCTATCATGATGCTGAAAGCCTGAAACTATCATGATGCTGCGAAACAAACCCAGGATGAAATCGACAGACTCTATCATGATATAAATGGAAAGACACTGAGTGCCTGCAAGTTGAAAAGTTATTTGTAAGATTGTAACTTACTTGAGCTAGGAGCTTGAGCTGGAGACTTGGGTTTGGAGTTGAAGAAGAAAGCTGTGGTGACGTTCTTCCTGGGTTTGGTGAAGCTGAGGTTATGGGTGGGGATAGCAGGGGAGCAAGTGAACCGGCCAAGCTGCGTTTGGGGTTTGAAAGCTGGAGTGAATGTAGATGATGATGAGTTGTTGAGTTTGGGACAGGAAAGTGGATTGATGGAAGCCATGTCTTGTTCTGCTGATGCTGCCAAAGGTGGAGCTGGTTTTGGGTGGATATATAGATGGCTGAATGTTGAAGTCTTTGCTGGTAATGGGTGGGAATGGACGATAAAGTTATGGTTGAATTATGATTATTCTGAGTATGGGCACAACAACAAATGGTACAAGTCGTTGGTTAGACAGTCTGGCCTGGGTACAAATCTTCTCTACTCGGATCCTCAACAGACTTTATGTATATATTCAATTAGATTGACTATTCCTTTTTGCTATTAGTCTTATGGTGGTGCTCCTCGTGCACCGTAAGAGATTAACTTATATTATTTCTTCTCATGGAGAATAGCTTTCCTGTGCATGGCTGTTTGTTAGCTTACCAGTCAATTCCAAGGAGAGGAAATTTGTGAACGGAAGCTTCTGCACCTTTCTCCTCGACCTTGGATTGGAATTGTTGACTTTTATCTCCTCTTCTTCCTTAAAGTATATGTAATGTGCAGAATGTTGAGATGACATCGTGGTCAATTGGAGAAGTGAAGTTTGGTGTCAGCTGTTCTTGTGAACTGAACTGTGAAGATCAAACCAGATTATGGATTTCAATGGCTTCTGGTAGTGAAGTCATCGAGTCATGTAGACAAATAGCCAAAATAGAGCTAACCAGAAGCGTACGTTCAAGTAGATTATGGAGGTCTAAAAGCAGTACACTGCTGAGTTAATCATGCATATTAACTAAACTACTGCAGTCATTCCCAGAAATGTCCATCAATCGTCCTAGATTGTGTTCAAGCTGCTGCTTCTGGAACTGGAATTCAATCAATCCTTGCATCACCTTGCTTCTCCATCATTGAGCTGTAAGTCCTTCTAGAGCCTGCCTGTCTACAATAAACATTTCTTCAGCTAAAATTTTTGCCTGCCTGGCTACAGTGACTCAAGTCTGAGAGCTTAACTTCTCTCATGAGTTACTTCCCTAACCCCTTGGCCGCAACCAAAGTGCAAAATTCGATGATTCTTGAGATGGAATAGAATGTATGTCGTCTTTGTCATAGCACAACACAGCATACTCTTCTCTGCTACCATGGACTGCCTCGAATCCTTCTCATTGCTACCAAAATGTCATCACAGTTAAAGGGTTTAGTGAGGTGGGAATCCATTCCAGCTTCAACTAATCTGTCCAGTTCTTGCTTTGATGTATGCCCTGTTAGTCCTATAATAGGGGTGTGAATCCCATACTGTCTCTCCTCCTCCCTTATTATCCTCGTCGCTTCACATCCATTCATCTTGTCCATCTGTAGTAACTCAACCAATAACATGGAAGGGAAAATACACAATATTAGTACAATCTATGAATTATTTTTATGTGAAAGAATAAGCTAGTTCATAAATCTATTCATCTTTCACCTCGCAGTCCATAATGATACAGTCATAAGGAGGGACTAGAGTAGTAGCTCCACTCCTAGCTTGTTGTTCCATGCCAGCTCTAAAACACTCTACTGCTTGCAACCCATTTTCACACTGCTCACACTTGGCTCCTCGCTTTGAAAGACTGGACACAGATATAAGCCGAATAGTCGCCTGATCATCCACAACCAAGAATGTAAGTCCATCCAAACGCAGCTTCTTGTCTCTGGTTAGGGGTTTCCCCACATCATCATCATGTTCTTCCTCAATCTCTGAGCGTCCAGCACCAACCCGAGGCGTGATGATCATCTGATGCCTTGCAGCAGCAGCTGAACTCCTCCAGTCTTCAAACGAATCCCTTGGTTGGTGTTGTTGCCTTGCTTTTGCTGGATTCTTGGAAAGCATGGTTGTCCCTTCAAACTTGGGCAGATATTTGATCACTTCATTTAGACAAGAACCATGAAATGGTTTCAGCAGAATCTCATCGCTCGGATCTGTCAAGTCCTTGTCAACTCTTCTTGAATTGGGTGTATCAATCCAAACAACCTTGAAGCTAGAACTGTGAATCCCTCTTCGAAACTCTGTTACAACCTGCTGAAGTTCATGGAACGGTCCAGCACTAACATCAATCACAAGCATAACAAATCCTCCTGACCCGATTCTGCTGACGGTTTTTCCCTTGTGGGAAGAAGTCAGTCTCTCGTCCAAGTCTTTCATGGCACTCAAAGGAAATTCCTTTGATCTGCCACTGCTGGAGTTCACACTCCTTGAGCCCAACTCTGATTTTCCTGAAGAGCTGTGAGGAGAATAGCTCTGCTTGGACTTTATTTTTCTAAGCAAAGGTTGGAGGTTTTCCCATTGCTCCACAACTGATACCTTTATTCCCAACTTGTCCATCAACTTCTGTGCAGCTGCTCGTCGTGCTTCGTTCTTAATCATGAGAACTACATGGGACTCATCGCTTCGGGGACTAGGAACGAACATGGTCGTCAAGCGTGGACTTGGGTTACAATTGACCAAGCCTGGAGCAGCAGTTGAAGTTCTTATGGTAAGCCCTGTGTCATAGTAGTACTGGTTTCTCGGGTTACCATCTTCTGTGCTCTCATCAACTGATGTCTCTATGTCTCTTGTGTTATTATTGTGATAATTAGTAGTCTCAGTCACAGTAAGGATGGTATTGAACCTGAAGCAAGTTCCCTTCTCGTCTTTCTTATCGACAATTCCGATTTCACCACCCATTAGTCGCACCTGTTTCACAGAAAATTTGTATATGGGTTGAGAAAGACAAGAACATTTTGGTTGTCAAGAAAGTAGGCACAATTGTTTAGTTCAGTAACTCACCAAAGATTGAACGATGCCAAGTCCTAAGCCAGTGCCAACTTGCCCCTTAGAAGTTTCTTTCACTTGAACATAATTTTCAAATATCGATTTCTGCTTGTCTTTAGGAATTCCTTTACCAGAATCATCAACCTCAAAAACAAACTCCATCCCATTAGGAATCATCTGCTTCACTGTGCTCACATCATCTTCCATGTTAGTACCTTCTTCTCCAAGGTTCCACTTGAGCAATTTCGACACCCATTTGGAGCAACCGTCTGGATGAGAAGCTATGATCCGGCTCTCCAAACTTGGTTGTTGGGCCCTGGCTTCTACCACGATTTGCCCTTCGTCAGTGTACTTCACAGCATTGCTCACCAAGTTCCATAGCACCTGTTTCAGCTTTCCCCTGTCACCTTTTACATGACCAAACTTGAGAATCGAGACATCTGAAAGATCTAGCACCAGATCTACGCCTTTTTCCATGGCCATAGGATGAAATAAATTGACCACATCCTCAAGAACTTCTGCTACCTCAAATTCTTCTTCTTCCAGCTGCATCTTGCCTTCTTCAAGCTTGCTTGTGTCCAGAATGGCATTCAAGAAGCCTGAATAATAATGAAAGCAGCAGTGTCATGAATTAATGATGAATGTCTTTTCCAACCAACCTCATTTCCATTTTCCAAATCCTTACCTACTAGGTCCTTTGTGGAAGCATGAATGGCTTTCAGGTTTGTTTCTGTAGCTAAATCTGGAGGCAAATCCTCATTACAGTCCTGTATGAAACCAACAATGGGTGTCAACAAGTTACGAATCTCGTGACTTGCAGTGGCAAAGGCAAGACTCTTCTTCAAAGACTTTCTCTCAGCTTGTTGAGTGGCTTCCATTTGCTTTATCAATCCTCTACACAGTTGTGTCTCTCTTATCTCAGCCCTTGCTATGAGCAGAAGAAAGCCAAAGATTGATATGAAAACTGCAGCTATCATTATCATCAAAAGGCCGAAAGCAAAGCTTCTCCCCCTACGAACTGCAGCGCTTCCCTGTGGCTCATCATTTGGAAAAGCCAATGCATAGACCTGAAGTGAAATGATAATTTAATAACAGCTGAAAAGCATTCTATGAGGGAATCCAAAGATGTCTTCTTCTGTTTCTCAAGAAAAAAAGATCATTCACTTACTGATTCAACTCCAACAACTTCAATTGAGGAACAATATACTTTGTACTCTTGTTGTCCAATGTTGAGAACTGATGGTACAGTCAGTTTTCCAGCCCCCAGAATGCAGGTAACATTATTGCCAGCAACAGCGATGGATATTGAATTGCTATTGCTGGCTGCAATCCGAGATTCTGGAATCCCGTCTACAAGCACTTGATTGCCATCTCTAGTGGCCAATTGCAACTTCCCTCCATGAAGGTCAATGTTGGCAAAGAAATGCATGAGAGCTTCTGCTGAAATTCCCAGCAAGACTATTGCTTTACGATGCACACCAACCATGGTGATGAACAGGAGGTCTTCATCTTCAGCACTACTGTTCCATCCTTTGCCCAACAAAGCATGCTGCTGGTTGCTACTGCTCAAAGCTTCACGAGCCCACCTCCTGACGGCTGCAATTGGGAAGCTGGATTTCTTAGCATTTCCATACAGCTTTCCTGTGTTTGAATCAACTTGCTGCTTATAAACCGCGTTGCCCATATAGTACATTGCAGAACTTTGGTTACCCTCGTAGTAGTACGAGAAAAAAGGGCCGTCTAATCCAACATATGCAATCTGTGAGATGTAAGGGAGTGCTGAGAATGCCTGGAACAGCAAAGGAGCCACCTTTTCGACCGGGAACAACCAAAAGCAATCAGTTAATGAAGGAACTCCATGAGTATACATTTTCAATTAAACTAAGCTTGGACGTAATGGAATTTACCCTGGCCTGGACTTCAGGTGGTGAGAAATGAGTAGCATTGAGAGTAGAACGCATCATGCTAGCCAAATGCATGGCAGGTGAGTTGAACTGCTGAAGCAGCTTAGCTGTTTGCTCAATCTGAGACATCAACCCAGAATGGAAATTGTTGGAGTTGGCTTCCACCATGTCCTCTACGTGGTTAGTTTTCTGATACCAATACCCAATTGCTAAGCTTGGAATGAACAGTACTCCAATCCCCTGTATATATACGAAAAGGGCAATCAATTAGTTTAGGGAGATCTCTTCATTGGAAGCTTACAGAGAATTAGAGATGTTTTACTATGAAATGTACCACAACAATGGAAACTGAAATTGGCCGGGAGACTACAAGACTTCTGAACTTCTTGGCCATGTTGGGAATCCTAGTAGGCATTGGTTGAGTCGGGAAATTGGTCAAAGTGGGTCCCTTCACAAAACATAAAACTCATGTATTCAGAAATCATATCAAAGATTAATTCACTACAAGAAAAATACCACTTTGCGACCAATCTCAATGGTTAGAAAAACTAGTAAAACGGTCACCAAAAGGTTTTGGCAACCATTTTCATGTCGCAAGAGTAACGGGTCAAGCTATAATAGAGCTTAAAAGAATAATCATGTAAATCTATTATAGTATCATCATAAATCCGTATCGATTTGTTCACCAATATATGTAATTTAAGATTTTGTTCTCGATGCACTTACGTTGTCTAATGCATGTGATGCACCCGACTAATGATAGTACTTTTAAATTTATTAAAAAACCATCTCAATCATTAATAATAATCAAATCATTAGAACAGTAATTTTAACCAAGATAATCATTAAAGATTAACTTGGATTTTAGAGAATTGGGGTTTAGGGTCGAGGGCATATAATGTACGATTTAGGCCGGCTTCCAATTTACATTCTACATTATGTCATCAAATTCGATTAATAGTATCAATTCGTACTTAATAAATCGATGATTTAAGGATAGCTTTTTTCGTTAGGGTGTATACCGTATAATATACACTAATTTTTGTGAATGCACCTTAACCCACTCAATACTTTTGGTTATCTGACCCAGCCTTTAATTGAAGATGCTGAATTTTGATTTTAGCCACAAACTCCCTTCCCTCATTGGCAATTCGCAATAAAAAAAGGACTCTGTATATCATACGACCAAATAACAGAACAAGAACACAGTAGCACAAGCCCAGAAAAACTAAAGCAAGAATTAAGTCAAACCCGGCTGTTTTTTTCGATTGAAAGAACTCGTTCGAGTGCTTCACTTCACTTTAATCTCCCTTTTACCTTCTCCTGAAAAAAAACCCAGACCGAAATAGAGCACACACAGAACAAGTCTGTCTTATTTGCTACCTGGAGCTATCTATATATATATACACACACATACTATCTCTAGCAATAGTTGGCAGCTCCAATATTCTATTTCCTTATTTGTGCGATCTTGAGTTCTTCAAATTGGGTAATTTCTTGTTGGCTTTTTCCTTATTTGCGCCAATATTGTGCTCTGCCTTCACTTTCCCGTTGTGTGAGATTCACTCCATGCTCTATAAGGAAGCTTCCGTAATTATCCCAACTGTGTCATTAAAACTTGAGCAAGGAGCAGCAGCCCGGTTATTTGTGAGATTGATGTTGACACAATCTCATGGGAAGTTATGAACTCCACAGCAGCAGCAGCCAGCAGAGGCTATGGTGTTGTTTGTTACAATGCTTACATCTAATGTCTAACCCGCATAATTCGTGAATGTTTGACAAACTCATAAATTTCAATGTGCGTCATGCATGTCATTTGGAAATGTAACTTGATCGATATCTAGTTTGCCATTATAGTAGATTGTAGGAATTGAATCCGATATTATGGATGTCGAATAAATTTATTAGAGCGGATCACAATCACGTATACAATTATGTTGTTTGATGATTACCAAAAAAAATTCTTAAAATGATAGTTATTACTTATTAGAATCGAATCCAGGAATACACTATGTTAATCATATACCTTACTACCTAGATCACCTCTCAAACTTTTCTTTCTTAAAAAGATGGCTATTAGAATCGAATCAGAACACAAAACTAAAATTCATCATTTTAGATGAACTGACATGTTGATGTGCATTTCAAACTTCAAGTAGAAACCGTAGGGAAATGGAAAGACTTCAAACTTCAGTAGTGTGTTTGATAAAAATTTAAGTAGAGTGATTATTGTTCAGTTACATCAAGGTTTAGAGACCACTAAGATAATTGACCTATCCAGAGTGACTGTTTGTGGACAAAATACCAATTCACAAACAGACCACATTGTGATCAAAATGGCATGACAAATATAGAACCACTAACTTGCCATAATCTTCACTTCGATTCTTCATTCTTGTGACCTTTTTACACTGCCTAGTAATTACACTTTCATGTACACCTTTTCTACTTGAAGACTCCCCGTGACAAGCATCTTACCGGGGGGGCCTTTCAGCAATTCGTAGAACAATTTGATGGACCAAACATAACAATGCCTTTCGATCTTGACCTGCATTCTGTTTTTTGCTTGCTCCCAAGTATGATTGTGTGTTTCTCCATTCCAGGACAGCATCAGTCGAAGAATCCTCTTCAACATTTTGTCAAGATTTCAGCACCGGTTCGAGTGATCAAAATGGTGTGCTCAAACTGTGCAGCTGGGCCTCCATCAGCTGTCAATGTCGTCCAATTGTCTTGCCATGTTATACAATCTGTGCTTCCTATGGTGAGAATAGGCTCTGCAGCAACATTAGCAAACCACAAAATCAACAACGAACTGACATTTGCACGATGTCAGGTAAATTTTTTCACTGTTCTGTTAATACTTAATACATCTTATGTACTAACCGATGGTAAATGTTTGGCCTTCAACCATGGTTCCACCCTTGTCATTGCCTGTGGGATCAAATTAAATTGCTGAGAATTAGTTAACTATATGACACACAGTGCTGCACAAACAACAAAACTTGAGATCCACCTTATGTAGGACAAGACTGATAAAGCTTTCTATCACAACTTCTCAGCGGGGAGAAGAATTAGAATGGAAAAAAGAGAAATGGAGATCCTAACAAGAAGGATAGAGAGAAATAAAATGAAAAAAAGACTTGTTTCTTGAAACTATTTATTCAAGGTGCAGTTACTGACTTCCTGAAGGTTCAGGGCCATCTATATTGGACCCCAATTCCTGAAGTAAATTCAGAAGCGAGTAATGTCCTAAAAATAGATGACAGACTTTAGATCGAGTTGCTTACGGTGATGCAATATTACTGGTTCAGAGTGGAACACCTTTCCTACACCGTGCCCAACAAAACGCTCTACCACATCAAAGCCATATTTCTCGGCATGCTCACTGACAGCATTGAAAGCAAAAAAACATTATTAGCAGATATGAGTAAAGAAACACCAAAATTTCCTTCGAATGAAATTACTCACTCCAAGAAGAGTAACAGTTAAGAATGGGTTTTGACAGCTGCTACTTGAACTAATGTGATCAACCAGTGCCTTTCAACAGCATTATCATCTCAGTCTGATTATATATGATATTTTACAAGCTCTCATACAGTGACTATGACGAAACTACTTGTCATCCCACTGGATCACACCACTTAAAAAACTGTGATAGCTCTACTTCTCACCTAAAGTAAGGACCAAAAGGAAACCAATCACAAAGCAAAGTCACGGAGTACCTAATTCTCTTGCCAATTTTCTTAAAACTGGCACCATCTTTGCAAACTGCTATTCCTTTTTCCATGCATTCTTCAGTGACCTAGTAACAGGTTGACAATAGAGATCATAAGAGAAGCATGGAAAGGTAGAAGTGATATAAGGCCGATGAAAATTGTAACATCTCACAAACAGTGTTGAGACACATATGATAATTCACAATGGTACTCTTAGATGAATATAAAATCTCTTCATTTTGATGTCAATGAACTTTGTAGAATCTGCTCCGAAATGTTACCTTCACCAGCCGTTTCAGAATATCATTAACATTTCCACACAGAAATGTTTTCGATGTATCACCGTGGTAACCCTGCAGTGATGATAGAGTAGCGTCTTTCAAACCAGGAAAATATATTTGTTTGAACTCGGCTCTCCAACAAATAATTTTCAAGAAAGCAAAATGAAGGAACAGGGAGAGGGGGGAAAGGAATCGGATGATAAAAAAGAATAAAGGACATTAGCTGAACTACAATTCTTTACCAAGATGCACACATTTCTCTGGTCTAAAGTTTACATATCTCTTCGATACAGAATTGAAGTATGGTTTCAGCTACTTGTGTGAACTTGACTATGAAAATAAGATCAGATTTATGAAGTTCAATGGCTTCAGGTAGTGAAATCATTGGTCATGTAAATAAATAGTCAAAATGTTGGTAGAAGAGCAACCAGAAACGTACATTCAAGTAGACCGTGACATCAATGTTTATTATGTCTCCGTCCTGCAAGGAAATTAATTATTCTAATAAGTGACACAGCCATACAGGCGCAGAAAATTTATGTGTATGCCGATCAAGAGTCAACACAGAGTAAATCTTACCTGCAGTTGGCGAGAATCAGGTATCCCATGACACATGCACTCATTGACCGATGTACACACACTCTTTGGGAATCCTCCATAACCAAGAGGTGAAGGGTATGCACCAGCATCAATGATCATTTGGTGCACAGCTTTGTCAATTTCATTTGTAGTGACTGATGGCTACATAGAAAGTGGAAATATCTCGATCAGAATGTATTATATGCATAACTTGACAATAAACGAAGATTGTGACAAGAAAGGTACAAGAAGGTGAATGTAGAGCGGAGGAAACAACGCTGAGGAAGAGTGGACAACAAGGAAAGAACCCTTTTAACACCTGTTGGTCTTCCCTTTGGCATTTCTCATTTTTGTATAGATTCTGTTCCTACAGTCATAGAACTAGGTTTTTGGATGTTGGGACTATGAACCATGGATCCCAGGTCAAAATAGTGGTTAAAGCCAAAAGGACAGTTAACTGAAAACAGCTGGTATCAAGGCCAATCAATGGATCACCATAATACATCACTAACTTCATAATCTCCACCAAAGCCTAAAGACACTACAGGCTGATAAAACCATAAACAGGCAGCAAGAACTTACCTTGACCAATTCGCCAGCAGATTGGAGCACCCGAGCAGCAAGCTCACAAGCAGCCCTCATTTTCTCAATGCCTTCAGCGTCATGAAACTGATGCTCACTTGCAAGCTCTGGCAATTCTTTGGTGCCCACATACGGAGGTTTAGGTATATCATCAGGCACCGGTAGCCGAGGAGACACCCTCCCACGCCTCAAAGGAAGCGGTCTCGTAAACTTAGTATTACTTCTTTCTCTTTGCTCCCTCTCCCTGCAAATTACAGAATTTGGGGCAGCGTAATCAAGCACAACAACCAGAAAGACCCGCCCTAACATCTGAACGTTGAGAGAAAAACGAATACCTTCTCATTTTCATTGCTTCTTCTAAACCGGACAGCCTTCTCGAGGAAACCACGAGCCTGGACGGAGACATCGTTTTGCTACCTGAAAATTGAAATTGGAGAAAGTTTCAGTGGGGATTACGCCTCCAAGCAAAAACAAGAATTCGGCAACCAACAGTTAGAAGGTTTTACCGCGCAGAGACGCGGAGAAGGCAAGTTGGGAACCCACGAACGGACATGAGTTCGATGATGTAGATGAGGGAAGTAAAGTGGAAGTTGTTCGTTCGCCATGGAAGGAAGCGGAGAGTTGCAGAGAAGCGGAGTGGGAGAAGGAAGCTGGAAAAGCCATTCTGGTACAAAGAGCGAGTAGCAGAAGTGAAGACTGGTGAAGATAATCATTGGAGGGCTCTCAATTTGAAGTTCCAAGTTCTGTTCGAATAAGTGGTCTGTGGGCTAGAGCGCCATATAGTGAATGAGCCCATTTATATTTTACCTTGGGCTAGTGCTGCAAGCCCACACTTGAAAGAGTTGGCCCATCGATCCCAATTCCCTGAAGCTTTGCTGCAGGGGTGGGCATTCGGTGCGGTCGAAATATATCAAGCGGTCGAAATATATATCGTGATAAGCCGAAATCCCACCATTTAATTATGAGTCAAGTTGTATCGCATGTTAAATCATAAAAATAATTGTTAAAAATTGTATCAAACCACGAAACAACGCTTATCAAATTGAGGGGAAAAAAACACTTAAAAATTAGCATAGGAGTAGTCACTGTGGTTCCGAATCACATTTGTGCAACGCAAAATCTAAATGATGAGAATTATCTGTTCTCTTCAATTCAAGGAAGTGTTCGGATTAGAGTACGAATCGAGTTGTACATGATTGATATGGAATAAAATGTGATTGTATTTTGTAATATTATAGAGTCATGTTCCATACTATAAAGGTTAATACCTTAGTTTGGCCCGAACTATACACAAACTTTCTACTTTGGCTCGTGGTTTTCAAAATTGCTATCATGGCCTGAACTATGTATCATACTTCCTAATTTGGCCCAAAGTCGGGTTTGACCGTCAAATTTGACGGTCAACTCCGTTGACCGTTAGTCAATGGCCAACTCATTTGCCACGTCAGCGAGCATGCAATAATTTTTTTGTATTAATTTTCTTTTCTAATAATAATAATATTAAATGATAAAATAAAAAATAAAAACCCCAATTGAGAAATACTATTTCCCAAACCCCTTCTGCAACCAAACCCAATTCCACCCCTTCTTCCCCAATTAACAATTGCATTTCTGTGGTTAAAGTGTCGATACCTTTCTTCCTTCGTTTCTTTCACTTCTGCAGAAGCTGGCCTACTATGGCGTGTTTGGTTCATGGAATGGGTTTCATTTTTCAGCTCTCAATTTTGGAAGCTTTGAACATGCTGTCAAGCTTGTAAGTGCCTGTAAATCTCCAAAACCAAAACCCAGAAACTATTAAAAGAAACAAAATTGGTGGGAAATGAATTCACGGGTGTGGGGGAGTCTCTGCAAATCACTCCGAGCCTCTCTCTCCCTCCCTCTTATATCTCACTAAATCAGTTCCGATCCTCCATTTGTTGTCGTGTCGCTGCCGACGTTTCTTGTCCCCGTCTCTTTTACGTCGCCGCAGTTGTTGGCTCTCTGTGTTCGTAAAACCCATGTTTCACTTTCCCCTTATTACCCATCTCCACTCCATCTTCATCCACCGCTTTGGCGTCACCGCACCCACAAACACCAGCGATGTTCGAAGCAGGGGTGGCTAGGAAAGTGGGCTTGTTATCTTCAGCCATGATCACTAGAAACTTCTCTTCAAAAACCTTCTTCTCTACCGGCTTTCCTTCTTTATCGCCCCCGCTCTCGATGTCCCCGTCGCCGTGTTGGCTGTTGACGGCGACTGAAAATCCTCCGGTAAGAGCAGGGCAGAATGGGCAATGTCATGGATGGAGGTGGGTCCGGAAGCGTTGGAGGAGAGGCGGGGAAGGATTGTCGGCGGCAGAGGAGAAGGGGAAGGATGATGGATTTGGATTTTGGGAAAGGCGGGGGTTGAGAATGATTCTTCCGATTGAGGTGAGAGGGGAGGGAATAAATTAAACTGAATTTTATTTTATTTTTTCTTTTAATATTATTATTATTAGAAAAGAAAATGAATATAGAAACAAAAGTATTTTTTTTATTCTATGCTTGCTGACATGGCAAGTGAGCTGACCATTGACTAACGGTCAATGGAGTTGACCGTTTAATTTGACGGTCAAGCCCGGCTCCGGGCCAAGTTAGGAAGTTTGATACATAGTTCAGGCCATGATAGCAATTTCGGAAACCAATGGCCAAAATAGAAAGTTTGTGTATAGTTCAGGCCAAACTAGTACACTATGTAGACATATTGTGACTTCAAATAATAAAATAGCAGTTTCCCTCGAATTCTGATTTATTAGTTGGTAGCGTTCCATATACAACGATTAGGGACCGTACATAGATAAGAATGTAGCATCGACGCTGGCAACACCTCTACAAAGACTTGTTTTAGTGGATTTTCCGTCTCTTAGATTCCCTAGTTGGTTTGGTTCAGCTGAAGGAAGTTTCCTCCCATCGAGTTGTATGAGAATATAATCAATCCCACCGGAATCCTGCGGCTGCGAGCCTCATTCATCAAGTTGCTCGATCGCTCGCCGAGGCCAGGTCAGGGGGCCGCCGCCGGCCACCAACTTTAACGTGCTGAGTTTGGATCAGCTGCCTACTTGCATGCAGTTGCGTAAAGATATGCATAGTTTTTTTGTGTGGTGGCTATGTGTACAGCAGTTTTATATATTATCCCTCGTCCTTCTGCTTACCCGTCGGCTTTCAATTTCCCATGCTTTAAAGCTGCCGCAGCTACAATAAACATAATCATTTGATATCATTCCTAACCACATTTGATTTTAATAAGGCGTTCTTTCGACCCCCAAGTTGCATGCAAATCAGTTTCATACAAAACTAGATATCCATTTGAATCCATTCAAAGGGTTGGACTCAATTAACTAGTAACCCAGCAAACAACGGTCTTCAAAGGGAAAAGAAAAGTATTTTTTATTCAATTTTTTTTCAGAATTTTTTATATTATCCAAATTTATTAAAATACTATTAATTAGCCAAATTTTTCGTAATGCATCAAAATATTAGTCATTTTTAGTTAAAATACTAAAACTTTGGAATGTTGACCTTCATGTGTCTCTTCCAAGTTAATATCATGTTGCCAAGTTAATATTATTAACAAAAGTGCTAACTGAAAGTTAACATTTGGTTAATTCTTAGTATTTCGATAGGTTTGGCTAATAAAAAAGAATCAAAAAAAAGGTTTGGATAAAAAATAGATATTGGCCAAATAAAAAACTGAAGTCACTGCCAGAAAAAAATTAACTAGTAAACAGAAGTAACCCTATTGGTGGCAGTGGCAGACCCAGAATTGTCGGAGAGGTGTGTCGTCGAAAAAATAAAATAATAATTAAAAATTAATTATAAAAATTAAATAGAAATTAATTCATAAAGTTCACAATGTCGTGTTTACAGTGAACCACGCCGACTTTTCATGTCCTGAAATGTCTGTAAAATACATTCATCGCTTATGTTGCGAAACAAATCCTTTTCGATATACACAACTAAATAATCAATCATAAATTGGTCACTCAACTAATTTTGAAGTTCATTCTTGATTATTTTCATAGCTGAAAATGCTCTTTCGCATATTGCAATTGCAACAGGTAATGTCAACACCAACTTCAAGAGCAAGTAAAACTAAAGGATAAAAGAAAAGGGGATGTGGCAGTGGGTCTCAGTAATTAGAAACTAAAACGGGGTAAAGGTGAGTTTTTTATTTTTTATTTTTTATTTTCAATAAAGGAAGGGTCAATGGTTGGAAACAGTGAGTTTCAAAAGATGGGGTTATGTTTAATTTTTTCATTGTTGAATTGTGGTTTGACTTACTTTAAAACAAGCATACTTATTTGATTTTACTTATTATTGTTTATTACTAATTATGATAAATAACTTTATAACAAAAAAATCATTCTCGTATAATGAAAGTGTGTCACTCACCAATTATTTGAGGTGTGTCGGAAGTCCCGAATTAAAAATATTGTACAAAAAATATATAGGTCTTTCACAAAATTTCCGGACGAAGGTGTGTCGGACAACACACCCCCTTTACTAGGTCCGCCCCTGATTGGAGGTGTCTCATTTGTTCTTTGCCAATATTTCGTACCTATTTTTGCGTGGATCCTTCTAATGATATGGTGAGTTACTAACAATATTACAGGAGTTTGAGATGCTAAGTGAACAACTAGTTAATTTGGCCAAGTTTGTGGTGTGCTTTGTAGCGAGAATATTGGTGGAGATGGAGTATGCCCCAATGGCAGCGAGGCTAAGTGTGGGTGCAATGGAGGTTCATGATAAATATATTGGGTTATTGTCGTTAGATTCGCGATTAAAATCGACTACTTTCTGATATTTAGAGGAAAAATTACTTTGAAAGTGGTAAAGATGGAAACAAAGACACTTTTCTTGGGAGGCGAAAAATACTCTGCTCGGTTGCCTTTGCCTTGCCAATTCATGTTATGTCATGCTTTCTTTTACCGGTGACACTATGTTAGAAATTGGATAGTATATGGCCAGAATTTCGTGGAGTGTGTGGGAGGATGGACGTGGTGGTTGTGACTTTCTTAGAGTTCATTGTGTAGAAGTAAGCAAGATGGTGGTCTTGGATATAAAAAAATTCAAACAGTTTAATCAAACTTTGTTGATGAAAATTGGTTAGTGTGTTCTAGAAAATATAATCTAGATACCTTGTTGACTCAGATATATAAGGGGAAGTATTTTCGAAATTGTTTGTTCCTGAATGCCCGATCGGGCTCACAATTGTCACGGGGATGGTGGACCATCCTTCAAGTGGCAGAGGTTTGCTCCATGAAGAGTTGAGATGGCAGGTTGGATATGGGGAGGAATTTGCTATGATCAAGGACGATTGGATGCCACAACTTCACCCTAACCCTCCAACTATCTTGGACACGACATGTGTTCAGGGAAGTGAACGTGTGTCTTCATTGAATGAGGCTCATGTGCGTAAGAAGAACTCATCTAAGTGGATCCATTGTTTGCTCGGTAAATGGCATTGTGGCTGATGGGTATGGTTTTTAAAGAAGACGGCTGAGGGGATAGTGATGGCCCATGGTCTAATATATCCAGGCCTAAATGATCCATACCTTGCAAAGTTGGTGGAAGTTTGGTTTGCAATTCGTCAGTGCTATAACTCTGGACTGTAGGACATGGTGTTTGAAGGTGATGCAAAGATGAGGTCCAATCAGATTTCAGAGTCGAAGCTGCAAGATACTTGTTGTTTGGTTAAGCCATTTTGAAGGAAGTAGCATAGCTTCGGGATGCCTTCCCGGGTGATAGTTTCCATTTTGTGGGTAGGATTATTAACAATAAGGTGGCATGTTTGACGCTAGAAAAATCATTTCTTTGTCTCTTGCGAGTGTGTGCGGATTTTATTTTCATAATTGGCTCTTGTTGATTATGCAAGCTGGTATCTTTTTTATGTTGGTATTCCTATGAACTTATGGCAAAAAAGGGTAACATGTAGACTAGGGGTGACGGTCGGTTACTTTCGGTTATAAACGATAACCGATCGGTCGGTTATCGGTTAACCAAAAAATCGGCCCTTCCAACCGACAACCGACCAAAATAGCCTTCGGTTAACCGCACCACCTCCAAGACCAAAACAATCTAGTCCAGCCTCCGAAAATCGATCGAATTTCGATTATATCGATTATTGGTGGAAGATGTTCCCCGTTAAGAAAGAAAAAGAGAAAGATTTAAACGAAACCTGACAGAATAATAAACTTTTTATCAAATCTTTCATCCGAACGACCCTGATGATAATGAAACTCCAAGATATTAATCAATCCTCTGATTCTTCTTAATACCACACTCCGCCACTACCAACACCTCCTCCGACCAGTTAAACCCATCAACCGCCACCGCCGGTTATTTTCCGGTGAAAATATCCACACCAAACAGCCTGATTACCACCTGACCACCACTCGCATCGGCCGGAGCCGCCAGCCGGCCGCCGCTAGGTTCCCTGATCACCTTCTTGTCGATCTTCTTCCAACCAATACAAAGCTGCTTATCCGAGGACGACGTCGACCTACTAAACCTAACCAAGTCACCAGCGCTAAGCCTCTTCTCCTTCACAAACCTGCCCCACCCTCTCATCAACACGTAGCTCTGGCTGCTCCTCCAGTACGAGTACCTGAACCTCCACATCTTCCCTTTCCCCAACTTCCCTCCTTCCGCCTCCTCCTCCACGTTCATCAGCACCCCTTTCGCCGCCGCCTCCGGGTGCAAAAATGGCCGGAAGTTCCTCTCGGCGTGATGCTTGGGGATCACCAGCCGGTTCAGCTTCCCCACGTCGCTCGGCGTCAGGACTTTCTCGAACAGCATCTCCACCCGCCGGCCGCCACGTGGCGAGCGGCCGATGACCATGTTTCTGCTCGTTGTACGCTCCAGCTCCTGGTGGTAAGTGTGGTTACGTAGCATGTCGACGATCTCTTCTCGCGAGTGTGAATCCAGGAACGCAGTTTGGGCCTCGTCGTCGTAAGTGGGTTTCTTTTTCTTGTTGGGCCCGCGGAACTTGTGGGCCCCGATGTCGTAGGCGGCGGCGGCTTGGGCCTCGGTGTCGAAGGTGCCGAGCCAGACGCGCTGCTGCTTGAGGTAAATCTGGGCCCCCCACCGGCCGTTGGGCTGCGGGATCACGCCTTTGTACCTGGACGAGGAAGATGGCCTGTTGGTGTTAGTGGGCCGTGGGGATGATGACTCGAATTCCATTTCCACCCCGGTTTCGAGATAGTTCTGGATCACGCTGCTGCCGTCGCCGCCGCCGCCGCGGCAGGGGTCGTTGTTGTCGTCGGACTGCTGCATTGATGATGAAGAGTGATCGGTAGCTGGGTGGATGCGGGAAAATATCGCGGCGGAGCACTTGTCTTTGTTGGTGGTTTGATGATCAGCCGCCATTTTTGATGGGTTTGTTGGGTCGTCCATCATAACGCGGGGGATTAAGTGGGAAAGCATAAGGATGGGACAAATATACTGGTGTTCGTTTTTGAGAGAGAGAAGAGAGAGAGAGAAGAGAACCCCAAGTTGTGTTTTTCTCTGTGGGTGGGTTTCGAGCATCACAGTACATACATGCATTTTATACAGAAAAGGGTTGCCCCAAGTTGAATAATAATAATGATTCCTTTTCTTTCTTTGTGAATATGATAGTTATATCGTATAAGGTATGCAAATATGCAATTAATAGTAAATGGATATGGTTAACTTAAATCTACCAATTTGGTGCATGTTTACTACTTGTATATTACAAATTTATTTGGTAAAATGTTTATTACAATTTCAAATATGTATTGGTTGATTTATTTTATGGGTTACATGAAGGTTTGGTGAAATCGAATCTAAGAGAGACTAAATATAGGAAGAGTATCATAACCCATTGTTTACCACAAATTTATATGGTAAAATGTTTATTACAATTTCAATACTTGTGGGTTTATTTTTTTGCATAAACTTATGGTCAACCTTGCATGACCCTTTATTTATCACTTATGAAAGATTTCTATATTTTCTCCTAATTGATTTTAATGGAATATATCTCATTTCTTTTAAGGCATAAATTTTCTTACACAGATAAATCAGATTAATTGCGTTATTCAAAATGACATTCCCTTTGATATATTTTGAAACAAAAAATTAAGGCATTTATTACCAATCCATATCATGCTTGGTAGTACATAAGATTATACCACGTGGTGTGAAAGTGTATCATGGTGATACGAACATACCAGAATGTAAAATGATAGCAACATACTAGTAGGATATAATAACCATTGTTTAGCACCTTTCATCAACGTATACCACTAGTTAACACTCTCTACCAGGTTGGTATAAGGTGGTATGTTTGGTCATTAAATTTTTTTCTATAAATTTGTAGATCTAAAAGATCACGACGAACTCCTTTTCCTTTTGGAAAAATATTTTCAAAATTCGAGTTAAAAACCAAAGGTGGTACGAGGGTGGTAACGAGTGGTATGAAATTTTTTATTGAAATATAATAACAATGGACATTATTTTGTAGATTACAACGAACCAGATCCATATGTGCAAATTTTCTTGAAATTCAAATTAAAACCAAGAAGATAAAAACCAATTAAAAAATAGAGAAAATATAAAAAGTCTTTAATGCTCATTCTTTAGATTTGGTCTCACTTAAAACTAAGAGTTCATATAGTTATGAAATTGTTCATAACCATTGGTTATGCATCCTATCCTGGACCAATTATATAGAGATATGATCACACAACGCACATGTTATCATTTGAACGAGACTTTTGTAGTGTCGTTATGACACCTATGCCCGAAGTGAAAGATTTCTTCAATTTTGACCTGCTTCGTGTTATACGATCTGTTTTGGGCGGGTAATACCCTCCAGAAGAGGGGCGGGGTGGGCATGGACCTGATCCGTCCCTTTCTCGACTTGTTTTTGTCTAAATTATATATCATTATTCTATTTTTAATACATCTTTAGCTATAATAAAGTTTATTTCTTCATTTGTTTAATGAAATCATAAATACTTCTCATGTTTTCCCTTTAAATTACACACTCATATGAATCAACCTGCCTCAATCCGCACTCATAATAAATTTGTCAACCTGGACTGGACCAGATCTGCCACAAGGTAAATATGATTATCGAGATATCCGCCCACCGTGCTCAAGATACGGTGCATATGAGTAACAATGTCTGGAGCCTTCATTTAGAAAATCCAGATCTAAGGATGAAGAATTAAAGGTCATTTTTATTTTTCCTTGTTTTCTTAATCGGCTCATATCTTCTTCGTTTTAACTCGGATTTCTTTTTTTTTTTTTTTTTGCATAGATGGAACGAGTTCGTTGTGATCCATTTTCAATATTTTTTGAGAAAAATTAATTTCTTGCCTCTCGGTACCAACTGCATACTATATGGTATCTTCTTCGTTTTTGAAAAATTTTGCACAGAAAGAACGAGTTCATCATGATCTATTGGATCTACAAATTTATGGATGAACAAAATACATGACCAAAAAATACCATACAATACCACCCTGGTACGGGGTGGTATCATGTGGTACACAACGTTAAAAGTCGTAAATGACAGTTAATATATATACTTATACTATCATGTATTCAACCATCCTACAGTCTTGATTTGTTCATACCACCATGGTACGTTTTTTAAACCATAGGTATGCTTTTATTCAATACCAGTCAATACCATATGGTATAGACTGGTAAAAAATGGCTCAATTTTTTTTGTTCCAAAAATATATCAAAATGGATATCATTTTGAAGAGCACAATTAATCTGATCTAACTGTGCAAAAAAAATCGACTTAAAAAGTGTGAGAAATCGTCCGTTAAACATTAGGAGGGGAAATTAAAGACTTTTCAGGAAAAAAAAGAGACGCTGATATGACGGATGGTGATTAAGTTATGCATGGTTATTGACCGGATTTCCTCCCACCTCGACCTGTCAATTTTCATTCATATACACACCTCTTTTTTTATTTTCTTTTGACGGAGTATATACCCAAGTAGGAATAGTTGACATAGCTAAATGTTCTCGTTGTCGACATGGATGCTTTTTGTTTGCAGGGCAAGCAACTAGCAGACCCCATTTCCCATTTACTAATTTCATCCCTCCAACACTCTCGCTTTCTCCCCACACACACATATATATATATATATATGTAGTTGTCGTTTTGCCATGTCTGATATATTGTCGTCCGCATACTTGCTACATATATACGCTGAAATTTTGTGTGGTTATAAAGAGATGGAGTGCATAAGTTTAACTGTAGTTTTAAGGTTTTATCGATCGTGCGGAGAAAGAAGGATGTTATTGGGACCGCAGTAGGTAGGCCAAAAGATGCAAAGTTTGGGCCACGAATAGAGGACTACGAGCCCCATATATACGAGGACGACGACATTACCATGCAAATTGATCGATATATATTCGACCAGGTCGAACGCGCAATCCTTCTTTTTTGCATCTCTTGATCAGGAGTATCTACATTATTGTTTCCTAGTAGCATATATGTAGTACTAGTACTACTTACTGCTAGTCTGCTACGTACTTTGATTCTTCTTCAAAGGATCGCAGCAATATGCTACTCAAAAAGATAGATATAGACGGTTTCCAAGAGATATTCTCATGAGTCATCATGATCAATGATTATCCGATCCTAAGACCAAAAAAGAAGGTCTTACTACCTATAGCCTCCTCCAAGGAACATAAGTGAAAATGATACTTGTTGGAATTTTGAATGGTGTGAATGAGAATGAAAGGGGAAGAGTGAAAATGATACTTGTTGGAATTTTAAATGGTGTGAATGAGAATGAAAGGGGAAGAGGCCAATACGGTCACATCCCTTGAGGGGAATGAATGACAAAATGAAAATGATATTAGCTGAACTGATGCAATGATTGAGTATTTTTTTTAGTGAATCATTGCAATAGTTTGGATGTAACTACCCATCCGAAGGGTCACATCTCCCTTAACAAATACACTCTTTATTTTCTATAAATAACACCAACCACAAAGAGTCATGTGACTTCTCACTGTTCATTGAATTCAACTGTTTTTTGAGGGTTTCAATTACTTGTATGCCAGAAATGTACGACGTCCATTACATCCCAGGAGAAATAGTTCCAAAACACTGGGCACCGTAGAGGGGAACTACATTCCATAGGAGAAATCGTGTATTCTATTCACTCGGGCGGTGTTTATACATATTTTGACAACTTTCATATGCATGAGTCTAGACTTTTTATCTTTGATTTTTTTTATTCTTTCTTTTGATTTCTATATATGTCTTGTGTGCAAGAAACATACTACAATGAAACTTTCCATAACAATACTTGGTGCAGTAGTTGATGGCTCAGGATGCACCCTTCCATAAGTAAATTTGGACCTTTGAATTTAAGTAAACTCAGAAAATTCAGATCTAAGGGTAGTGAGTTAAAGTCATTTTATTAATCAGTTCTTATCTTCTTCGTTCTAACTTGAGGTTTTTTTTTCATAGATGAAACGATTTTGTTGTGCCCTACAAAATGAGATCTATTTTCAGTATTGTTTTAGAAGAAAAAAAATTCCATACCTCTTGTTAGGGTTGGGAATCCGGTCGCGGTTTTCCGGTCAAATCGGAAACCTCCCAGTTTAAACCGTCCCGGTTGTAACCGGAAACCGGGTTCTCACTAACCCAATCCAGTTTGCGGTATGAGGTTAAGGCTAAATAACCGCTCCGGTCCCGGTCAAAATTTACCCGGTTTTAACCGGAAACCGAGAAACAGAAATATACCCAGCCCACACCCAAACCCCAGCCCAACCCGACGCCAGCCCACACCCCAGCCCAACCCAGCCCAAGCCCAAGCCCGAGAGTTGTAAGTTTGTAACCCACCCCAAACCCTAATTTCAGCGGCCGCCACTTACCTCTCCATCAACCCATCTCTCTGCCTCTCGATCTCTCACCCATCTCTCCGCTCTCTCTCACCGGCGATGCGACAACGACGACCTAGACGCTCTAGTCGTCGGCTCTCACACCACAAGAAGAAGAAGAAGAAGAAGAAGAAGAAGAAGAAGAAGAAGAAGAAGAAGAAGAAGAGGAAGTCGAGAGGAGAAGAACTCGATCAAGCCACAACCGTCGATGAATCTTGATTCTCATCTCCAGCTCTTCTCTGTCGCGTTCTGCATGCACCAAAATCCTTTCAATCACACCCCGCCGATCTTTCTTCTTCCTTCTATACTGCTTCCTCGTTTTCGTTCCCTCGGGACTCTGTTGGGCATTGTCGGAGGCGGCAAATCCGTGGCAAGATTCAGGGACGGGAAGACGCAACTCTGTTGGCGGTGGCACCGTCTGAAGATTCATCGCGGAGGCGAGGTCAACGAGGATGGCGAAGTATGAAGAAAGTTCAAGATTGTTTGGAGGAAGAAAGAGAAGAAAAGTAAAGGAGGGAGGAGAGGAATTTGGTCGGGTTTCTCTAGGGGATTGGGAGAAGGAAGTGGGAATTTGGGGATGGTTGTGTTTTGCGAGAGAGAGAAGTCTCGTCGTCCAAAGAGCAGAGGTTGCGATTGTTTAATTTTTAATTTTATTTTTGGTTCAACTTTCTTTTAACGACGGCGTTTTGGAAAGGGAACAGGGGTAAACGGTTTTTGTGTTGAAACCGGATCGGACCGTATTGCATCCAGTCCGGTTTGGTCAAAACCGGGTACCAATCCAATCCCGTCCTCGGTCGTGCTGTTGTCCAATATGGTTGTAAAAAACTGGGTCAATCCGGTCCGGTTTAAACCGAACCGGACTGTTTCCCAGCCCTACCTCTTGTTACCTACTCCATACCATATGATATTCCTTTCGTTTTTAAGCCATTTTTGAAAATATTTGCACAGAAGGAACGAGTTCATCATGATCTATTGGATCTACATATTTTTTAGGGAAATAATATCGGACCAAAAAATATAACACCATACCACCCTGGTATGGGGTGGTATCTTGTGGTACACAATATTGAAAGTCATAAATGACAGTTAGTATACTCCTATTATGATGTATTTAATCATCCTACAGTTCAGTATGTTCATACCACCACACTACATTTTCATACCATATGATATGCTCTTATTTAATACCAATCAATATCACCATAGTATAGACAGATAAAAAATGCCTTGATTTTTTTGTTCAAAAAATATATCAAAGTGGATATAATTTTAAAGAGCACAATTAATATAATTTATCTGTTTAAAAAATTTAAATTCCGACAGAAAGTACTACTGCAGAACGATGTTGTTTGGGAACGGCTACGGTGCTAATTGTACAATAGTTAGCACCGTCCTAACCAAGGGAAAAACTACTACTAGTTTGAATTAGTAGTGATTTAGCTTAGATGTTGTATTGATTTTATAATAATCCGTAGTGATTTCGTTATTTTTAGTAGCGTTTTTTGCTAGTTATCACGGTGCTAACCCCTATAAGGGTTAGCACCTAATCCCATCCCATGTTGTTTGGGTGGGTTAGTTAGCTGTTAATCAACCTATCAACTTTTATATTTGACAACTAGGCGTTGATAGAAATCTGAACGTTCAGGTAGGTCTAACAATAGATCCGAACATAATAGAGCACTGGATCGCATTTTAATAGAATATTAGATATCGTAAACAAAAATATATAATAAATATAGTTTACATTAATTACAATGCCAATTGTACTAGAAGGTCATAAGATTTGGTAAATTCATCAATAACAGAATCTCCATCCATACCAATAACATACTCTCTCTCAAAGAAAATAGCTAAGCAATCACCGAGAATTTCATCACTTGTTTTGTTGTGCAAATTAGTTTTCACATGTTTTTTCCTGAAAATGTTCTCTTTGTGGTAGTCATTGAAACAAGCAAGGTAAACACTAGACGAATCAACCGACAAATCAATTTGTATTTTGTGTCTATCCCTATTTCCACCAGCTTATTTATTAATTTCGCAAGAGAAAAAACTTCATATTCCTGACTAGAAAACACACGAGCGGCATAATATCATAGCGCATTTTTCAAAGAATGCATCGCATAACCTTCAAAGTCTCGAGGCTAAACTCTTAAGCAAGTTTGTAAATATTTTCTTTATCAAAAGACCATAAAGAATTGTTAGGATCTAGCGCACCACTCAACTGGACCAATCTAAATGATGACTCATTAAGTTTGTAAATATTTTATTAATCAAAAGACCAGAAAGAAAACCAGCGCTCGGAAGACTCGACGAGGAATCCATTTTGGTCCCGTTCGTCTTCTCGTGATTGTTTTGTTTTGGGGGGATTAATTAGAGAAATTTTTTGAGTTTTGAGAGGGAAGGGTGAAGTTTAGTTTAGAGGGTTTTTTTTATTTCAATGAAACTTTATACTTAGTCTTTTACATTTTAGACTTTTAGGTTTTGTTATTTTTTAAATGAAAATCATTCGGGCTTGAATATATAGGCTAAATATATAGTAGTAGTTTGGGGTGGCTAGCTACTTCGGTGCACCCAAAAAAGTCTCTAAAAGTGTCCATAATACATCAAATTTTGAACTTTAATTAGTATTCTCAATCTAATATGATGATATGACATAAAATCATAACAAATGAATCTATTACCCTATCCCCTTGACCTTCAATTTTGAATCCCAATGCAAAATCTCAAACTGTAAGCCTAAACCCTAACCCTAAACCCCTAAATCCTTCAAATTAAAGTAAATTTTAAATTATTTTTTTTTTCAAATTCACGTGCTTCTGTTCATAATATCATAAGCAACAATTGATACCGTTTGGACATGAATCGCATGCTCAGAATGATGATATGAGGTGGGTGCACTGAGTGCACCAAAAAAAGTGGGTGCACTGAATACGCCACCAGTAGTTTGGATATGTTCATCTAGATCATTTTCCTAGTGACACAAAATCATATTATCAAATAGCACTGGGCCGAATACCTAAAATCAAGGAATTTATAAGCAATATACTAGCTCTGGATCCGGAGGAGGACTGTGTCGTGGCCCAACCCTAGATACGCTGCTGGGTAGGTCCAATAAAATAAGAACATAATGTTTATTGATGTTTTATAATGATGTGCAATGTATTTCATATTATGAAAAGTATTTAAAATACATTCATCGTCCAAATATTAAAAAAAAATTCACTCTCAATGTATCCTACAAAAAAATCATTCATGATTTCACTTTAATCAGCATGACTCGATAGGTTCTATGTGTGTAAGAGCGTAGTATAAGTTCCAGCATAACCTTCTCTCAACAACTCGAGTTATTGGGACCAACTGGTTTATGACATGGTATCAGAGCTGGTTTTGGCAAGTGCTCGTGTGTTCGAATCTCTACAACTCTCAATATTAACAGTTGATTAAAGCACAAGGTATGGTGGACCTGTGCATGCTTCAAGCCCGTGAGTCTCGAGTTATCGTAACAATATGCGGTGAAGTTGTAGCTCGCTAATTGAAGTGAAGGCTAGGCAGTAGGCACAATTCAATGAGTGGACCTGTTACAAACATGTCACGTTCGAACCTCTCATCCAGCCATAGTAATTATTTTTTACTTATGTTCTTCAGCGTCCAGGTGGTTCCTGAGGCCTACCTCAGGTAAAAGTGGCTCAACCATTGGTTACAAGCCATGTTCATAGGTGTAAGCAAGGTTTACGAACTAACCAATACTATACACAGATCAAATGTTTATATGAAGCTTTTCTTCAATTCAGTCCAAAGTGACTTGCAATTGTGCACCGAAAAATCCTAATCCTTGTGCTTTAGTGGCGAAATACACCGAGATACAATAAAATGACCACTCCTAAGATGTCTAAACCTTAAATTGTTGTCTGGGAAATCACTTCCTAATGTGTCAGAAGCAGTGGATGATATGCTCCAGTATGAGCAAAAGCTGAAAAGTGAAGTAAATGGGAAGAACACAAAGTGTAGCTCTCATAGTTGGGCGAGACAGGAGACTAATCACAGGTCTCAAGGAAATTTTTTGTGTACTAACTACTAACTGTAAGAGATCAAACAAACTCAGTTAATTTTTGGATCTTCGATAATGGGCCTCATACCACATTTTTTATTCACTAACCTTGTTTGTTGAGCATGAAGATGTTCAAAACACATTTGTTCATTTGCCGAATGCATCTAAGGTCTGAGTAACTAATGGTGGTACAACTAAACTTCTTTGAGGATGTCCTGGGTTTGATCCTTGACAACCGCCACTTCAGCGTTACCCTTTTGGTGGTCACCGACAGGGTTGTAAGCTCGTATTAAATGCTCCCAATGTTTGTCGGGTATCTGTGGAGGCCGAGGTTTACCATCCAAGACGGATTTCTCCTCGTACAAAATGTTATCATTCAACCTTATTTCTTTCACTATGATTTATGTCAAATCCAATATCTACTAAGCTTAAGGATGATGGGTTTAGGAAGAGCACTTAGAGGCCTTCACCAGCTACTTTCACCTCACCTCACAGTTAGCAGTCCATACCTCATTCTATGTTACAAAATATATCTATGGCATTGGAGACTAGGACATCCTAGAAGAGATAGGATTTCTTTGTTACATATACTGTTGCAAATGAGCGAAGCTGCTTACGAGATGCTCGTCTTTCGACTTGGGAAAAACTCGTTCGACACTCTACTCGTTTACTAATGAATCGAGCTTGAGTTAAGCCTTGTTCGACTCGCAAGGATTGTGAGTCAGCTTGACTCGGTAGGTTGTTGATTTCAACTAGTGAGCTACCTCGTTTTGATCGGCTCTATAGTGTTTTTTTTATCCAAGATAAGCCCCCAGGGCATGGCCGGACAACACAGTTAAAAGAGAGACACTAACAAAGAACGGTAGACTTTATGCAACCGGACTCCCGATAATAGAGCCTGTTTTGCCACGAGGTGGGCAGCTCTGTTGAAACTCCGAGGAGCAAAGTGACACGAGACTGCGGAAAAGGAGGGAAGAAGAGAGTGGACTTCCTCTAAAATGGCTCTCGCTCTTGAATGAGAAGCCTGCTTCGATGTTACGTCCTTGATCACCAATTGAGAGTCCACACAAAAAGCAACAGTCAAGAAATTATGGGTGAGACACCATCTCATAACATCACGAATAGCAAGTAATTATGATGTATAAGGATCAGTAATGTCATCTATAGTGTTAGATAATGCACAAGTTTGGTAAAAATCAGCTCGGAGAAACAGCCTCATTCACGGTCAGTTTTGTTTAGTATATACTAACTAAAATCCAAAATGTATGAACTAATATCCAAGTCTGCTAAGTATCTAGATAGCATAGACTAATATTCAAAACATCACAAACTAGTATCCAGATAGCAGATACCAACTAATATCAACAATCAACAAACTAGTATTCAATATGGATACTCTTATGTGTTATCTACATACTCTTATGTGTTATCTTGATACTAATTATGTGCTGTTTGGATACTATACTGTTTTGTCTAGATATTAGTTTGTGAATTTGGGATAATAGTTGATTCATGGTGGGATATCAGTTAGCAAACTTTGAATACTAGTTTGTGCTCTCTAGATACTTTAGTACTTAGATATTAATTCATGTATTTTAGATATCAGTTAGTATCTGCTAACGAATCTTCAAGTTAGCATATTAACTTTCCCGGTTTTGTTCGGGTTCAATTCGATTTGATTGAACTGACCGAATGTCCAGCCGTAGCTCGTACATCATAATTTGACCAGTGAGCCAAATTGGGCCGACCGGTTTAGGTTGGGCCGTAGTCCGTGGTCCGGTCTAAAAGAGAAAGTAACGTCGGCAAACTGACAAAGCCATAATCCCTAATCCTTCTCTGTTTCTTCTCCCAGCTCTTGGCGCGTTGTTCTTCCGTAGGTTCCAATCCAGCGAAAATGCAGGTAATATCCCTTCCATCGTTTTCTCCTCCCCTTTCTTCCCCAATTAAGGAATTCACGTCTTCTGCAATCTGCACCACTAATGAACAGTGAAATCAAAGCCCGTCGTCTCGAGTTCCCTGCGGAACTCTAAAATTAAAATTGAAAAGCCTGATTGATTTAACCTACAATTTTTTTCACTTGCAGGCCAGCGATAGGTTTAACATCAACTCCCAGCTCGAACATCTCCAGGCCAAGTACGTCGGCACCGGCCATGCCGATATGAACAGATTGTGAGTATTTTTCCTATGTTCCTTTCTTTTTTCCGATAGGTATTGTGAATTTGCCTCTTCTTCTTTTTGGGTTCTTTGGAGTTTTTGTTGGTAAAATTTGATGTTCCTCTGGTGGGCAGCGAGTGGGCGGTGAACATTCAGCGAGATAGCTATGCTTCTTATGTTGGCCACTACCCAATGCTGGCTTACTTTGCTGTTGCTGAGAACGAGTCCATTGGAAGAGAGCGCTACAACTTCATGCAGGTTTGTGCTTGCTTATATTCTTGCTCCTTTGTAACTTCTATGGTGAGTGGTGACTGGCTTTTGATGATGAGATTGTGTTAGCTAGCTGATAAGAGGATGAACTTAGATTAATTGCGTCACTGTTTGGGGAGCTGTCATGATGGGCGCAAAATGGATTTTGCATTTGGAGTAAAATCTTGAATATATGCTTATACCGTTATACCGACTTCGAGTGCTTGAAGTGTTCTGATCCCTAGTCTACCTTGCTTTCATTAGGGTTCTTTATTGCTGAAAATGGGTTCCTCTGGACATTGAACATGCTTATAATAGATAACCTCTGTGTGTCTTTTTGTGTGATGAATACTTGAGATAATCTCAGTTAAGGCATGAGGTTGGCAATTGTGTTTCATAATAATGTTTGATCATTTGCATATAAGGAAGATAGCAATTTGTTGTTTTGTTTAACGCTGCATCATTAGTGGAAGCTTTTGTCTCCTGCTCCAATCTTTACTAGCTACTATGATGGTCGGCCTAAGGCTAATGACTAAATGTATCTCATTTCCTGTCTGCTCGCAGAAAATGCTTCTGCCCTGTGGCCTACCACCTGAAAGAGAAGATGAATGAATCTTGGTTAGATGCCTGGAATTATGGAGCCTCACCTCCAAGGTTAAGATCCAGCAATTCCATCCTATGAGTGCTTGACTCGTATGTTCAACGGGATGAGTAAATGTTCGATGCCAGTAAATCGAAACGTGTGACTTGTTAGATTCATTCCTAGTGACATAAGAGAAGACTTTTATGTAATAGCAAGTAACAACTAGACAGGCAAGTCCATCTTTTGTTTACAGACATTTCTTCTGTAGTGAACACTGGAAGATATGTAGCATTTGCCCTGGTTCCCCAAGCAAACGTTACAAAAGTTGGCTTGTCCATTATCATAGCACCTGTTCTCAATACGGTTCTGTAAAACTGCATTCTGGTTCGGTTTAACCCAGCTTTGCTGTCTCTGTTAATGTTGTTGTTCGAAAGATAACAAAAGGGGTGGAGTTTTGGGGTTTGAAGCCGGTAATCTACTCCTTTTAAAGAGTTGGCTCCAAGTTGCACTTAAAATGATCTGATTGTGCTACATTTTGTATTTCTGATGAAAACTAGAGCAGACTGTCTCAATTGGGGGGAAAAGTAAATTCTCAAGGAGTGAAACAGAAAGCATTACATAGAGATACACTACACTGATACACTAGCAGGGTGGAGTCGCAATCCAAATCTACCTAAAGTAGATAAAACTGTGAATACAGGTACTCTCGAATCTTGTAGTAATCCTCACATAAGGGACCTTCTATCACAATCTGCTGTATCCCGGAACCACCGCCCTGGAGCAACAAAAAGAATGTCTGGTTTAACATCATAGAACCAATTCGTGCCTCAAAAGTATCTGAAGGCTACCAAGGGTTCTCACCTTTTGGCTGGCAACACCAACTTTGCGCAGGGTGACATATTCCCCACATCGCAATGCCCCTCCACCAGCAAATTCCACCTGTAATGTAAGAGTTATGATTCAACTGGATTAATTAACAACACTCTTTGAACCTTGAGTGCCGGTCAAGAAAACGGAGCAGGAGAAGAAAGCTAGGCACCTGAACTCCCTTGCTAGCAAGGAATTGCTTGAGATCAGCCATTTTGAGATCACCAACAAGAACTGATTTGTGTGGTGGTGGTGGTTTGGATACGGTAGGTAATAAGGTGAGCATGTCATGATTCTCAGTTTTCCCTGCTACAGCATCGATCCAAGCTACTTCATATTCTCCCAACTGAAATATACATATAGCACATGAATGAGAAGATTCCCACCTCAGCCTCTTACATTCATTGTTCCTGTGTGCAAATCTATATTCATGAAATCTTCGAAACTGATTGCATGATGGTAGTATGTTACCTTCTTGAAGAGAACATTACTCATAAGCTGTTCTGAGAGTTGCACCTGATTTCACAAGAAAGGGTCAGGTCAAACGAAACAATGAAACCCTGGTTACTAATCTCCAGAAAGTTTGTTGCTGCAGTGTAGAGTATTAATACATTCAGTGATCACGACAGATTATTTTTACCTTATAAGCACACAGATCTGAGGTTACATCAACTGTCTCTTCAATTTGTGGAGCATAAACATGAGCACAAACATGGTTTAAGCAGTGCTGCTTCAGATGCTCGGTGGCCTCAGCTGATCCATGCACCAACACCTTTTTAAGAAGAAAACAATTAAAAGACGAGCTATCTACAATTCTTCCTAAATAATCAATAAATTGAGAGATGAATAAAGCAGAATGTATGCAGTGGAGACACATGTCAAACTCAAACATCTCTTACAAGTTTCAGAGGAGCCACACGAGCAATGATTGATTTAATTGAGCGTCCATCAGACCGTCCTTCGAAGTCCATATATATTAGTGAACACTTCACTTGAACCTGATTGGCAATCAAATATCACTATTCAGTACATAGCAAAGATAATGCATGCCATGCAATCCAAGTCCATTAAGAATATTGATAGTACTGCTCGAGTTTCCAAATGACCAACATCTAACTTCTGCATCTCAAATTTCTTATAAATCATCAAGTTCCATTGACAATTATCAACTTAAAGAATGTCAGATTGAAATCATGAATGATTTGTTACCAGAAAACATGCTTGATCATCGAGTACACGCTACTGAAATTCATTCAATCAACCAATTCTTCACAAAACTAGCAAAACGAGGGTTCAACTTACCGTCAATTCATTCGACACAACTTTTGAAGGCTTTGTATCAAGAATAAAACTAGCAGCAGCTTCATCAAGCTTCCCATCAATGTCTCCACCAACCTGAGATGAGAGATGTATTATTAGAAAGACACTAACTATCAAACATGGTTCTAGAGAATACACCAGGCAGAAGTTAATTCCGGGAAATCGAACAAACCATTTGACAATTCTACTGAACGAACCATTAGAAGGCTATTTAGAAATAATAGAACGAAGTCATAGCACTAATGTAGCAAGTAGGATGTTGGTAATTTGTAATCTTCAGGCTCGATGTAAGATACTCTTAGGATTACCAACAGAAAAATAGAATGATGGGGGCTAATATAGTGTTCTAATCAAATGTAAACCGACAATCGTTCCAGTAGTCAGAAACTTGGATACTTTAAAGTTGAGGAATTAGCATGACAACAGATGTTTCAAGCAATGAAAACTTACATGTAAAGCTGTTTGGTTCATGTCTTCCTCTTTTATTACATAATCATCAGGATTAACTACTTCACCAAAATCATCCCATTCCGTGTTATTTTCGTAGAATGGGAACATTGGCGCCACACTGGTGGATGGTGGAACGAATCCATCAATCAGTATGTCCCGATATCCACCTCCACGAGAACCAGCCACTGCAAGATACAATAAGGAAGTAAGTAGCAGCAAATGCACCAAACAGTTGGATACGTAGAGCATTGGAACCTCAGAAATATACCATCTGGAGGAGCATGTGAATTGGTTGTATCAATGACCATTGGATCATTAGTATTATCCGGCCCATGAGAAGCTCTTGATTCCTCTTGTTTTAAGAGGCTAGCTTTCAGCTCCTCTTCCTTTTTCAGTCTCTTCTGTTCTTCTTCATAAGCGACTAATTCATCACCAACTAAGGGAACCCTCTTTGACATTGTGACTTTTACAGCCTTTGGAGGTGGATCTGCCTGGAGCATTCGAGCCAACGTCCCAAACTACAATAACAAGTGAATCATTAACTAACAAGTGCAACTAACCAGCAGTCGGCAAAGACCAGCAAAGACCATCATAGTTCCATTAAACATAACCAAAATTAAAAATTGTATATATGTATCTATATATGTAGGATTTATGTATTTAATATTTATGCATGTTTTCTTATGCCTCCCTCTTAAATAAACATCTCCATTCATAGATGTATTTTCTTTTCACATTCACTACCACCTGGAAACCAAGAAGCTAAGGATTCAACTCATAAATGAAGGGAAAATTTAACGAGTGTGTAGAAAACAAAGCTAGGTTCTGTCTATCACATTTTCAATGCAATTAATGAAAGGATAGTTGCATTGCAGAAGGACTTTAGACAACTACTATCTTATATGAAGCAGATAATCTCAAGCATGAAGAAACCCATCAATCATATTAATTTGATATCAATATCAGGATTCACATGGCAATTTAAACGAGAATGGGGAAAGATGGATAAATCGTTTTGTACTCTACACAGGGGAACACCTGGCCTCTTTCAGTGAAAAGAACTAAGTTCCTGACATCAGACGCCCATTCAACAAATATATCATGGGAAAATCCTGCCTCCAAGCTTGCCATTGATGCCAGAACGACCTAGATAAGAATGAGAAAGACAATAGAAAAGACATGAGCTGGAGTTCAAAGTTTTGCCTCACAACTAAGGCACAGAATATATGGCGAAGACTAATATCAAAGGGGAGCAGGGTAGGACAGTTTTTCTGAAACATCTGTAGTCCTCTTCATTTTTCACTTTTTTCATTTCTTCTAAAAAAACTGGTGATATCTGTGTGCTGCCTTGAGGAGGTACTGCCAAGGCTGAAGCATGACGTATGATCACATTCACAACCTTTTCCTTCACACTAATACTGGAAACAACCTATCTCATCATACTTCCTTTTATATGCTTTTGCACATATAATCACTTGGCACAACTTAATTACAATTTGAAGGGCACAAGGAATACAACCTTTGGACCAATTGGAGCATTATCAAGATCCATCTTGTTGATTAGAAGTTTCACACGCCTGCCAATTTTAAAGCTCACAATTGCAAGTAGTTATTGCCTCATATAGTGAAACATGGGCAGTACAAAATCCTAGCACTCGGGAAAAGAAACGAGTTTTGTCCGATATGAAAAGAGATTATCAGGGGAAAAAAGACTTACTTCAACTGAAAAGCATTATTACGCGAAGTTTCAAATGATTTTGCGATGGAATCACCCATCCACTCCAAGAAACTCTTTACATAGTCGATAGTGCTTGATGCAACATACGTAAGAAAGAATATGTCATATCCTAAATTGCGCTGTGCCCAGAACTGCCAAATTGAAAAAGCATGATATTCAGAAGGGAAAACCCCGTTAATATTCAATTGAAAGGGAGTTAAGATACAGTCAACCAATAGTAGAAATGTCATTCTCATATCTAACCTCTTCCAGAATGAGTATAAGTTCCAAAGCTCGTCCAGCGGTGTCAACAGGTAGCAATACATTTCCACCTCCTTCTAATGTCCTCACAATTCCATCTTGATAAACAAGAAGAAAGAACTCATTAGCTGAATTGAAATCAACTCATCAGCAAAATCACATATAACATTACACTAAACAAACTATGCTAAGACAAAAGCCGCCAGGATTGGAAAGGGACAAATAAGCTTAAATTTTAGTCTTAGCAATAACATAGATCATAAGACAAGAATGTCGAACGTACCTAAAAATTCTCTGTCTCTTTTTTGTCTAGGAGGTTGATTACTCAAAGCATTATAAGCTTCAGTTATTAGAACAGCAGGACGGACAAAAGACTCTGCAACTATTCCATTCAGATGCCTGATGAAAACAGATACTGTAAATATTCCCTCTCGGAATGTATCACCTCAAGAACAATTAATTTTCAAGAACTACCTACCGTTCTTTACGATGGTTGAAGTCAACAGCATAGATAACATCTTCTCCGTCCTTTGTTATCTTCCAAACAGTACCTCCGAGAAGATGACCAGCCACATGAGGTGCAATAACAATCCCTTCTCCCTTGCCTAAAATGTGAGATAGAGTCATTCGGATCAGGAATGGCCTATTACGTATGACCAGGTATAAGTAGATTGTTGGAACACATACCTACCAGAGAGGTGATGATTCTGTGAATAGGTAAGCCTGGTAATTGAAAGGAAAGCAGAATCAACATCATCGAGCGTAAACAGATCAAAGTCCGAAACAGCCTGTGAAAAGGAAATTGAGTACAAACTCAAGTTACAAAAATGATACACTCGCAGTAAATAGCAATCACCAACAACCATAATCTACTACTCAAGAAAGCTCCATCACGAAATAAGAGATAAGCTGTGCCCACGCAGAATTCAACAGTGTATAAAGAATAATAAATAATCAGAGAGGAATAGAAACTACCTTGCGCGATAGATATTGATCATACATAGTGAGCAAGCCTAATCTAAAAACTGGTTCTGTTGAGTAAATTGGAGCTGAGAGTCCAAGATGATTCATGGCATATGGCAATGCACCCAGGTGAAGTGTATCCGGATATGACAACAAAACTGCATCTATCTTTGAAGCTACCCTGATATGCAGCAATAAAGATGACTATAAGAACGGCGGAAAGCAATTTTATAATATAGGGCCCAAACATTCTTTCAAATGAAAGAGACCACACCTGGAGAGGGGTTCAAGAAGGGAGGGATCAAAGTGATCATTCCAACCACAATCAACCAAGAAATTGAAGTTGTCAATGGATACCAAGTAAGATAGTGGGTTCTCATTGTACACTCCACAAAGTGGCGTGACCTGCACAGAAGTTCCCATTTTGCCTTTCTCTTTTCTCCCGTTAGTGCTACTGCTACCTCTGACTTGTATCCCTGTAAGATCCATTAGTTCAGATGTGAGCTAAGGAACGAGGTTCAAAACTCCATATCCAATTAACATCGAATTTATGCACAAGGATTATAGCACAGATGACGACTTAACTCTTAATGCAATCAAATTACACCATGCAGGCTCACAAACTCAACTTTCTGACAATTCAAACAAAACCCTCAGTTTCTTAGTCACCTAATATTAATGTCCTTGATTAAACTTCATGAACGGACCATCAAGAGAAGATGGAGAGAATCAACCATCAGGTTCCTCAACCTGTCATGCAGTAGACCACAACTGATGTGTCTATAGTTGCTGTGGAATACTTTAATCTGCAGGAATTTGGAAAAAATAGTAGAAGATATAGGACTTGACATGTAGGATGGACGAAGAACTATCAAAACAGTCGACAAGATAAGGTTTGACAGGTATGGCGCTACAGCTCAGAGTTTAGACCCTTTAGAGAAACTCAATAATAACTATTGCAAACTGTTGAGAATTCCTATAAAATCCAATGTCTAAATATCAATGCTTCTCTTTCACGGAGAGGCTACAAACAAAGAAATGGGATCCTACTACCACTAGAAAACCGAATCATATGTATTACTCCTCCCAGGATACAAACAATAATAAAGCTTAATTAAAAAATAAAAAGAAACATTCTCTTAATTGCCACAATCCTGAACTGTCAAGGATTTAAACTATTCCTCTCTTCCAAAACCTTTTTTGCTGAGGATAATCGTAGTAAACCTCCATTGCTGAACTTTTTCAATTTCCTTCAAGTCCTCAAGGGTCTTTCTAAAGAAAACAAGTTATCTAAGCCTTGCAGCACTGGGCACACCAGCAACCATACCCCTAAGGTCAACATTGGGAAAAAATCCCATCTTGTGAGTTTCTACTACATTCTTCACTATCCATATTCTATTCAAAACCTCTCACATTTTGTCGAACACTTGGCCAATATCAACGATCGACCTCACTCTGCCACAGGCAGCACAAGCACACAACTACACAACAGCTTGCCAATGAATTTTCGAGCAACAGTCTCTAACTGCGATGACATCCTTTTCCTTACTTAACAGAGTTCAAATGGCACATTCAAAAGTAAAGCTTTCAGGTTCAAGAAAAAGAAAGCAAACAAGAGGCTCCAATTCGTGAGCCATTACGCTCAGCCAACTTACAATCAAGATGTATTCCTCAAAAAATCAGCCTCCCGTCACCCAAGTGAGCCAAGCAACCGGCCGAACACACCCACACCGTCGCCGCCGGAGTTCCGCCGCTGTTCGCCTTTCTCACGCAGTGCGTGAAGTGAACTGAAGAGGGAAATTCAGACGCGGCCACGCGGGGTTATGTTCGACTTTGGGACGTTAGGCCGTTGGTACCCATATCCGAAAGAGTTTGGGCCTTAAATGGTCCAAAATTCACGGCCCGCCAGTGTTTGGGCCTCCAGCAGACGGGGAAAGCCGATAGTTAAATAGGGTTTCGCAATCTCTTCCACGTTCGAGCTCTTTCCCTCGCAATCTTCAACTCCCAGCGGCGCGAGCTCTGTTCGAGTGTTCGTTAGTGTTGCGAGTCCGGCGATCCAATGGTGCGTTCCTGTTTCTGAAGCCGACGATGTTTTAAGTTGTTTTCCGATGTGAAATTTATCGTTAAATCGTTTGTGTGTTTACTGTTTAGGCTCCAAAGAAGGATAAGGCTCCGCCGCCGTCGTCGAAGCCGGCCAAATCGGGAGGCGGGAAGCAAAAGAAGAAGAAGTGGAGCAAGGGTAAGCAAAAGGAGAAGGTCAACAACATGGTTCTCTTCGACCAAGCTACTTATGACAAGCTAATCTCTGAAGCTCCCAAGTACAAGCTAATCACCCCCTCCATCCTCTCCGATCGTCTCAGGGTAAACAATATCTTCCTGCACTTTGAATATCACAATGTGTTAAATAGATGTGTGTTAAGTGTAGGGTTCTTTTTTTTCAAATAATGAATGTGTGGGTGTATGGTTCGTGTTTTGCAGCAGGTTATACCCTTTTCATTGGGTGTATGGTTCTTGTAATGGTTAATCATCCTATTTGACTACTTGAAGTTCTGAATGAACTTTATGGCTACTAGATCCCGGATTCTGCTGCACCTTTAAATGTAGTTTCTTTGACCAGACTGTTCAGGAATCAGGAATGGATTATATTCTATAGGTTGATTAGGGTGCGGTGTGCAACTTCGGTTACTCATTTGCTCTACTACAGTTTAGGTTTTCACCCGGTCCCAAACTCAGTATAACATTCATGGTTTCTTTTGACGAACAAGGGTGTGGTCTCGTGGTCGTACCACTAGCTTTGAACTTGGAGTTCTGAGATTTGGATCCCTTTGGTAGTACCTAAACCACGAAAAAGTGAACCTATATCACTCTTATTAGAAGGAAGAAAATCATCAAGTTTGCTTTCGAGTAATGTACCTTGAGCAGTGGTATGGTCCGAGTTTCACCTCACTTTTAGTCTATCGGACTGTTTGTATGAGCTGTGGTGAAAGCCGGTACTTAGCTTGGTCGACTTTTATCTAGTAGGTTGGCCTTGCTGCTTGTAGGTTTAGCTGATGATTATCATTTTGGTAATACATGGACGCATACACAGTATGAACTCTCACTCCGTCTGGATTTTGTTCGTGGCGTTCATCAAGTTGTTAATCTCTTGTTCTGTTCCACTTAATCATCTCTTTAACTATGTTGTTTCTGTATGCAATTGAACAGGTGAATGGATCTCTGGCGAGGAAGGCAATTAGGGAACTGATGGCAAAAGGTTTGATCAGGATGGTCTCTTCTCATTCAAGCCAGCAGATTTACACCAGGGCAACAAACACTTGAATTTTTAACACGTAAAACTATGAACATGAAATGGTTGGTTAGATTTTTCATCAAGCAGTATTTGGGTGTGAAGAAAGTCATTCTGTCGAGTACAAGAGTTAATTGGATGGCAGCACGTTTGATCTTGTAAATCGTCGTTTCGCATGTGTTATGTTTATTTGTAGCATCCCAACACATTCATAGCTTATGGCAAAAAGATAGGATTTATGAGTAAGAAACATGTATGTGCATGTTTCATCCACTGGATTCCTATTTAATGCCCTAATTTGAAAATCATGAAGTGGTTTGTTTGGAACTGGGTTGGATTTTCGGTTTAGCACAAAGATTTGTTACAGACTTAACTTTTGTGCGGCATCTAGCACTCAAATCTTGTTAGTATCCATGTTTTGCCTCTCATAATCGTGATAGATCTTATATAGTTTGTTTTATATGACTTGTCTTACCTGACTTGACTAACTTGTTTTGGATGGATACGATTGTGGGTAGTTGTTTTGTAATTACCCATCTAATTTTGTTATCCGTTTTGACCAAATTATATAAAAATTTTACTTAAATAATTTAATTTTACTTTCATTACATTGTAGTATAGCTCTAATGAAATTAAATTAGACGAGGCTATTCGTTTTTGAAACAATTTTGACTTCAGTTGTTATGTACTAGGTTGTTTCTAAAAATTTTAGTAAAAAGAAATTAATGTCTCGAGTATTTTTTTTATATACGTACTCATATGGACCGATCTATCTCAATTGACACCTCAAAATAAAATATCTAACTTCGACTCATACCTAACAGGCTACCCCAACATGCCTCATTGTCATTTCTACTAGGGGTGAACAAACACACCCGCAAACCGACCCACCTGTCCAACCTGACCCAACCCATTTGTATTTATCGCTAAAATTAAGGTTTTGAGTTGGGTGGGGTTTTATTTTTTTGTACAACCCGTCTCTTTTGGGTTGGGTTTGGATTTTGGATTACACAACCTGTAGAACCGACCCAACCCGTGTTCCAACTATTGATATGAGTTCATCTCCAGAAAATATTTATGTCGTAAATACCCATACTCTTGAGAAAATTAAGATATTTAGCGACGTTTTTCTCTCATGGTCTCCCTAATCTAATGCATTTTTCGACTTAAAGTTTAGACATAAATTTAATATAGCTATGATTCACGTAATCATTTTTCTTGTATACAATTTTAATAGAATAACATATTATGAATGTGTTCGTTTGTAACATTTTTAGCATATTTCAACAAATATCGTGAAAAAACTAGACATGTGTTAAAATAAATCATCTTTTATTAAAATTTAAACAAAATTTGTGAATTTTGATATCTTTCACCTCGGTTTAATGGTTTGAAATTTTAATTATTTAAATATTTTTATGGTGTAGAATAATTACATATTTAGTGTTGGATTGGATTTTACTTAAAAATATCGTCAACCCGACTCAACCCAATTAGAAATAAACCGTAGGATTTTAATTTTCTTGGGTGAGTTTGAATTTAATATTTTTTAAACCGTAATACATGAGTTGATTGATTAAAATGGCTAAACCCATACTACCGGCAATGTACACTCCTAATTTCTACAATCCCGTGTTATGTTTGACTTGGTCACATTTTTTGGAGCTGACGTTCAGTCGTTTGTACTTGTATGATACCCGAATGTATTTGGGCCTTTGCTGCACAAAACATTCTAATGGTCTAAGTTCATGGCCCGCCAAAGTTGGGGCCTGAAATGGAAAGGGAGGCCCGAATGCTAGACGATAGATAAATAGGGTTTTAAGTGATTAGCGCCGTAGAGTTCATCCTCCCTCTCACGAAGACAGACCATCTTCAACTCCCAGAGGCGCAGAGCTCCGTTCGCGTTCGTGTTGCGAATTCGGCGATTCAATGGTGTGTTCCTCCTTCTGATGACGGCGATGTTTCAAGTTTGTTTTCGATGTGAGATTGATCGTTTATTGGTTTGTGTGTTTAGGCTCCAAAGAAGGATAAGGCTCCGCCGCCGTCGTCGAAGCCGGCCAAGTCCGGAGGAGGCAAGCAGAAGAAGAAGAAGTGGAGCAAAGGAAAACAAAAGGAGAAGGTCAACAACATGGTTCTGTTCGACCAAGGTACTTACGACAAGCTGATCTCTGAGGCTCCCAAGTACAAGCTAATCACTCCTTCCATCCTCTCCGATCGTCTCAGGGTAAACAATCTCTTAACCCCTCCTATGAACAAATTTTGGATATTGAAATGCGTTGTTTAGATGTTTGTTTAACTCTAGGGTTCTTGGAATTATGGGGGGTGGGGTTGAGATCTGATAATCCAGAGTAGTAGGTTTCGTCTGATTCGGTATATTCTAGCATACTAGAGTTTGTACCCTTTAGTTAGGTTTATGGATTATGGTGCATGTAGTATTTAGCCCATTTCGCTGGTCACTGGGATTTGATGTATCGTTTGGATGGGTGCCGCTTATTTGCATCCTCAGACATGTTGAAATCACTCAAATGAGACATTGTGATTATTTGATGGCCAAAAGTCTGAACTTTTTCTTTGTCTTCAAATGAGAAATTTTGCCACAATCACTCGTTTGAAGACATTGTTGGTGAAGTGAATTATAGTGGATCTCCAATTCTACTCCATTTTATATGATTAGTTGCTCACCCCTGAGATACGCACTGTACACTCCCAAACTTACTTAACCTATAGGGTACACCCCTCGTTGATCTTCAGGGGATTGTGTTCAACTTTAACTTTTTACTCAGTGACATAGTATTCACAGTTGAATGGCATGTCGGAGGTTCCTTTTCGCCTCGTTATTAGTCTCTCTGAGGAATTTTACAAGCTAGGATGACTAGCTGCGAACAGCGACATGGATTGGTGAAGGTTCCTTTGGTTCATAGTCTTGTTCCTGTAGGTTAGCTTATGTATATCATCCAAGTAGTACCAGGCTGGAGAGCGTTTAGTTTATCTGATTGTCAGTTTGTCACTGCCTGCAGTTTAAAGAAACTGGGTCCTCTTTGTCTTGTTGCCGTTACTTAAATCAGCTTTGTATTTGTTGATGCAATTTCAATAGGTGAATGGGTCGTTGGCAAGGAAGGCAATTAGGGAACTGATGGCAAAAGGTTTGATCAGGATGGTCTCTTCTCATTCAAGCCAGCAGATTTACACCAGGGCAACAAACACTTGAACCATGTTTACTTTCCATTATCAACTATGATTCCGCGGGGCAGAGAACTTTTGTTCAATTTTGGCATCACTGTGGCCCTGTTTGTTTAATATTGCTGCTCTTAGGGAATGTGGCATTTGCAGGTTCTTGATGTATCAAGTGAAACCATGAATGCGAAGAAGATAGTTTTGTTTTTCTATTAAGCAGAATTTGATTCTGAACCCGAGTGTCTCTATTGAGTGCAGGACTTCAAGTAGTACTATTAGACCATTGGTTTAGCTGTCCTGTACGGTGGCGACTATAAAGTGGTATGATTCAAATCCGTAGGATTTCCAAAGTCTTTTCCTCTTGACAAAAACGAAACATGGCATGCAACATAACATAAAACATATGTAAGATTAACCTGAACTTGTATTTTTTACTTTGTGGTACAACTTCAATGTCCACAAATAATTAAATAGTATAATATAAAGATATGAATTTTTTTAATAGTATAACCTGAATCTTGAAAAATAGTATAGTAAAAGTTGTCTGAAGGTAAACTTCAATAGCTTGGATAGACTATTTTGAATGAAAAAATTTCGCCATTGGATATAAACGTCAAAGGTATAACAAATTGGAAAACTAGAAACTTATCATTCGCCATGTCCTCCATTGCGAATTGATTTGTATTAGTTGAGTTGTTAGTATTTAGTGATTTGGTCCTAAAATAAATAAAAAAATAAAAAGTGATATGGTACACTTCTGTGACAACAATAAAACTATTTATGATATTCTCATGAATGGTGCCAAGGAAAAAATATATAGAGCTACGCTTAGGACTGCAAATGAGGCGAGGTAAGTTCTGATCTATTTTGGATTTGGCTCGTTAGTAAATGAGTTGAGGTCGAGTTTGGCTTGCTTACTAAAACGTTAGCTTTTGTTTGATTCGAGGTCGGCTAATTACCGAGCTCATTAGCTCTGCTCGAGTTTGGCTCATCTATTAACGCGCAAAATCGGTTAGATAGCTATGGTATCAAATCATTTTAGTTCATGATTCTTAATTGTTCATATCATATTATTTAATAGTAAGTAGTACATGAGCAATCTATAACGGGTGAATTGCAAATTTGGTCACTCATATTATCTATTTGTAACAGGTTAGCCACTCAAATAACTTTCGCTTCAATCTAGCCATTGATATTACACACTTAAGTCATCTTCGGTCACTCGCCGTTTAGTTTCGTTAAATATGTCCTATGTGGCAGGCAACAGTTAAGTTTGACTGTTAAAATGATGACATGGCAACAACCTGACCTACACATAGACGCCACCTTTGTAGCCACGTCATAATTTAATTCAAAATCTACACATAGACGCCACCTTTGTAGCCACGTCATAATTTAATTCAAAATTATTTAATATATTATAAAAAAGTCAAAATTAAAGAAGAAAAATTGGAAAAACTAAAATCAAAATCTCCCCTCGGAAACCCGATGCCATAAAACCCCAAAACAGATCCCTCACCGAGCGTTGTGCTGGACTCGACCCAAGCAGTTTCGGGTTTCAACATCGACGCTAACCAACCGGAGATTGAACAAATCGAGGAGGACGAATGGGGAGGCTAAGACGTAGGAGAGGCTGTCGAAATCGTGGATGCCGCTGCGAATTCAGAGTTGGAGAATAGACAGACGACGACGCAACGAACCAGATGCTGGCGGCAAGAGGCAGACGACGACGGTCTCAACCGAAAGAGGCTTTATTGCCGTCCCGACATCCGAAGTGTACCCTTTAGCTGAATTCAAAGCTTTTTTTACCATACTTGGCTGCGCCAACCAGACACTATTTCACAACTCAATTCGGCATAAAATGTACAATTGGTTACTGAAATGTGAAATCAAAACTTCGGGTGAAGGAGAGATTGTCGGCGTTCAGATCTGGCGACGAGATGGCTGAAAGGGAGATGGTCGGAGTTCTGTTTCTGCTTCTTCTCCTCTTCTTGCTTCCCCACCTCCTCGCAATCGGCGGCCCCGCCTGGGAGAAACAGTTCCGCCACGGCCCACGGGAACTGCTCGCAGCTAGTAACGGTGGTCGTCAGCGGTGAGTCTTATGGGAACAGGGGAGAAAGGCAGGGGAGTTAGGGGCGGGTCTTCTGGTTTTGGCGGCAGCATAAGAAAAAGTGAGAGGGGCGTGAGTTAGTGCGTAGGTTCTTCTTCTCTTTTTTTTTATTTTTTATTAAAAATAAATAATTTTTTATTGTCACGTGACCATTTCAATAGTCAAACTTAACTGTTGACTGCCACGTAGGACAGATTTAACAAAACTGGACGACGAGTGACTAGAGATGACATAAACGTGTAGTATTAGTGGCTAAATTGAAGCGAAAGTGATTTGGGTGGCTAACCTCTTACATATAGATAATATGGGTGACCAAACTTGCAATTCACCCAATCTATAACACATAATTTCTCTTTTAAATTTAACTGATTACAGTTAATTTATCACATGATCAGATTCTTAAACATTATACGTGGTTAGATATGTAAAACAACAAACCTATGAATTATCAACAAGTCAATGATTACTTATTAACCGACTCGCTCATAAGTTGCTAGTTGATGTGACTCGTTATCCATACTATCGAGCCAACTCATAGCTCAAAACGAGCTAGCTCACGAGTTAAAACTTAAAACTCAACAAGCTATCGAGTCAAGTTAGCACACGGGTCTTGCGAGACAAACATTACAAGACTTAGTTCAATCTCAATTCATCAGTAAACGAGCCGAGTATCGAGAGAGTTTTTCCCGAGCCGAAAAATTTGACTAATTTCGAACCTAGCAACGACACAGTAACAACCGACATAGATGAGTTCTAGCCTCTCCGGGCCATTTGCGTAGAAAAATCGTGACTTGGGACTCCTTTTCTCCTCTCCTTTTCTGGCAGAAAGGTAGTCAACTATGTACATGTGGTACGTACCGACATGGTTTGGGGTAGGGACTGGACTCGACTCGATAATTTCCCAGCAACTTTCAATTGCGCCAGTATGATAGTAGGAGCTGGCAGGGGCGGAGGCAGAGGGTTAGAAGGGTGCGTCTCGGGATTCATCTCGGTTCGGGATGAAAAATGATTAATTACGTATAATAGTTAATTGAGTATGAAAAATAATATGTATTTAAATAAAAATGGTTGACTTTTCAAATATTTGATGTTTGTTTTATAAGTTGTTGATTGATATATTCCATGTTTTTATAACGAGCTATGTACAAATGATAATGGTGCATATGATCCGCCTATAATTAAAAATGTATTTATTCAATATCTACAACAAATTTCCACCAAATCATAGCTAATTTGTAAAAATAATTTTATTTCGATCAGGGGTAGGGAGAGTGTAACCGGTGGTTCCTATAAGGACGAAAATGAGTTAATTAGTATATAGTTAATTGAGAATGAAATTTAGGGCATTTCTAATGGAGAATGATTGACCGATATCTTATTTGTTCGAATCTTTGTAACCCCATTTGTTAAGCACATGATATTCGAATTTACAGAAACTTTAAGCACGTATAAGTTAGTTTTCGTTAGCAGGAAAGTGTTAGTAAATACTAAATAGTATAAGATTCATTATTAGATCTTTCCCACCAACTCGAGTTATTGATACTAAACGGTCTCGACGAAGAACAACATTCAAAAGCAAATATCTAACTAAATCATAAATAATTTTTTATACATATAATATTCTTGATATTTTGAAAAATATTTAATTTATCAAGATTTTTTAAATATAAAATTATATCATAATGATTTAAAAAGTTAATAAATTATATTATCATATATTTTTTGTAATAGACCCACTCTCGATAAAATCCTGGCTACGCCTCTAGGAGCTGGCAACCACTCCGCAGAATATATCTATCAGAAACAGCGGCGAAATTACGGGAAAAAACAAGAACTGCGAAAGTAAGCCTTTGTTTGGTTGATTTTTGTAGGTGGAAATGTATGAAGCTTCTGGAAGAATAAATTGAGAAAAGAGAATAGTTAGATTTAGTTTTGTTCATTTAACTCCACATCACATATAATAACATAACAATTTAATTTAATTATTTAAAAGGCACCAGCAGCGAATATGTTGTCAGGAAGACGAACCAAATCAGTGGACTGTTGAAGGATCCAATTAGAGATATTATTCGGGTTTTGGGTACTTACGTAGGTGGGAAACGAAATAATCAAAATCTTCTAACCACATGATTCATTCATAACTCTGCTCCAAGATATATATAGCTAGCGAGCTACTTGCAATTTGAACTTGAACTACAATCTAGGAGCAGTTGACGAAGAAATGTCAATATTGTTACAGGCAGCGCTTACAGGTCCTTTAGTCTTTCACTTGAAGAGAACAAAATAAAATTCTTTCATTAGGGGTGGGAGTACAACGTGTTCGTTATATAGATATATAAAGACATTTTGATAACGCAATTTAAATTTCATTCCAAGATATATAGGGTTGGTAAATGGTTAGTCAGTTATAGGTTTTAATCAATAACGGGTTAGTGGTTAATTAACAGCCGATAATTCTTTAGTGTTTTTTTGTTTCAGTCTGATTTTGTTTAGTGGTTGTTACTTGATAGATAACTGCCTATTAGTATAACCGCTTCATTTTGGGCTTTAGTTAAGGGGAAAAGGCTCAAAATTCAAGACCACCGAAGTCATAATTTCATACATCTCACTTCCCCTATTGCAAACGATCCTCCACACAAAGTCTAAAATGTGTCAAGTGTTAGAAGTCGAAAGTCACACCTTTACGACTCCCCTTTGCGGTCAACATATAGCTAGCCCCACACTCTTGCCGTCTTTGTTTCTTTGATGCTTGTGAATGATGATGATCTTGTAATACTAGTGTTTAATGTCTTGTTAGGTAGTACTCGCTAATTGAATGGAGACATTTGGTTATTTTTAATTTTATGTGTTGGAATTTGGATGATAATTTCACAATGGATGTTTTATTGTCTTGATGTTATTTCTCATAATTATTATTTTATTTTTGCTATGTAGAATTGTAAATAAATTATTTTTTAGTATTTTTATGATTACCTTTTATTATTAAAAGAACACAATAAAAGTTTTGAATATAAAAATATCACATGTGGAGGTTGGTTTTAGTTAGTGGTTAGTTGCCAAACTAACTGTTAACCGAACAGACAATTATTGATTAATCGATAATACTTATCGATTCAATTTTTGCTATACATATTTTAGTTAGGAGTTAATCACTAACCGTCAAATCGATTAGTGACTAACCGACACGACCGAACCATTAGCACCCTACCATCAAGATCACGTCAAAATACAAATTTATCCGAAGATCTAAATTAAAACAAATTGAAAATGAAATGAAGAACAAGACACAATCGGAATAAACCCCTAATCGGGTTCTCTTCTTTCAATTACCCTATTCGATTTTGCTGAGCAACCATGAAGCCTGAAGCAGCCATCTCCGCCACTGGGCTCCCTTTTCCCAGTCGCCTAATTTCTACTCGATTTTAATTATACTCATTTAATATTTATATTTTAAGAAAACACACACATACTTTCAAATCTTGACTCCGTCGCTAACTGTTACATCATTCTTTCCATGTTCTAACGGTGTAAATAAAAACATTTGTTGAAGAATACTACTTAATTAGTTTGTCAAAACCCTAACAACGATGAAGTAGTCATGTGTTGCATATATATATGGAGTTAATTCGACTATATATCTAATTGTACATTGTATAGTCAAGGCATGCAACAGAGATTGATATTAATTTGTCGAGAATGAAATAATATAAGGTACATGTGGAAGCTACGTACCTTGCTAACTCAATCGTGATTCATGAATATTTACAAGTTAAGGATTCAACATTAGGGTCTAGCTTTTGGCGATATCAGGAAAAATCATGCCAAGTTCCGTAATATGTTTATTTGTCTACGACCACAGACCACAATATTGCCTCATAATTCATATGCTATTGCTAGCTGTTAGTATAACATGCACAATAGTTATATGGTGTAGTCAACGGCAATGTTGTCAGAGCCGAACCGGAGCATTACCCGATAATCTGAACGGCTCGGTCTTTAGTGGTCCAACCGACATTGAGCCGTTATAAAACCATTAGAGAACCGATACCTTATATGAATAATAAAATCATAAGTATAAGACACATAAAGATAATAATTTAACAATATAATGACTAAAATAAAATTTACTGGTTACCATTTTGTAATCCTACATTGCATATATATATTAACTATAAAAAAAAACCCTACTCCCACCCCACCTACACCCTTAGCGGCCGTCACTTCCCCTCTATCTCTCCAATTCTTTCTTTTCTTACTTCTTCTTTCCTTCAACCCAGCAGCGGCGCCCCTTCTTCCACCCACCCCAGCGGCGACTCACTTGAGACGGGAGACTGGCTTTGTCGTTGGTTTCCCCAAATTGACGAGTGGGGAGCGGCCTATGGGGAACGACGACAATGGCGACAGGCGACGGGGGACTGGCGGCGGGGAACGGCGGCGGGAAACGACGATTCGGACTGGCGATGGAAGCGGCGCCTCCTTCAATCTGCACGAAGACGATTTTGTTTTTGAATAAGAGTTGTGGGTTTCAGACAACCCGACCCACCCCTTTCATTTTTTTTTCATTTTTTAATTAAACCCACCGGCCCAATGGAAAAAGCCGGACGAATGGCTCGAGCGGCCCGAGCGGTTAACCGCTTCGGCCGCTCGCCGACCTCCCCAAGAAACCGTTCCGGCTAAATAGCTGAGTCGAGCCGGTTTTGCGGTCGGGTGACGGTTTTGACGGTCCGGCCGACCGGCTCGGCTTTGATAACACTGGTCAATGGTGTAATCAGGAATTTAGTTAGGATGAGTCGTACATAAAACTTAACAACTCTTGCTCTACAAGAAGGATATGTTGATTGGATGGATGGGTTGGTGGGTATCGAGTACGAATTTTAGATTACGGGAAAAAAGAACAAGCACCATAAAATATTATTGTATAAGACTATCTCCAACCCAAGCATGCAAATTTGGAGAAAGAGAGGTTTTTGGCTTTTTTCATCTCCAACCCACCAATTATTTGGCTTGCAAATTTGGAGAAGTGGGCTTGGGGGTGGATAGATAGAAGCTCATATGGAGATATGCAAGGAGAAGGTGGGGGACCAACCATGGAACACAAACCCACACGCTGGGCCCCTCCACTTTCCAACATCTTTTTTTTTTTTTTTTAACTTTCTTAATTTTTGATTGGTTGGTTATGAGTTGGGAAGGCAAATTTAGAAGGTTTAGGATTGGAGCAAAAAGGTGTTTTGGGGAGGCAAATATGCACATTTGAGAGCTTGGGAGGCTAAATATAACTTTTTGGGTTGGAGTTAGTCTAAGTATCCGATGAGTTAATGGTATATTTGACCTCTGAATTATGAAGATTTTCTTATAACAACCCTTGTACTATTTTTTTTAATATGTAGCCATTCAAGTATAAACATTTTCCAGTTGTGACCTTTACTGTTAATCTTCTCTTAAACGAGAATGCAAGTGCTCACTGAACACACTAGTAAGGCAAGATTTTTGGGCATACCAATGCATGAAAGCGAGATTCCTCCCATCTCGTTCCAAAATCCAATGCAATAGTTGGAAGCTTACTCAAGAACTTTATGTAGTTGTGTCCTCTTATTAAAATTAAATTTTAGAATAGTTTATCATTTCTAGAAAATAAAATGCACAACTGATATACTCATAATATGGTAGATTCATTATTGTCTTCACCATGAACTAGTTCATCATATTCATTTAAGTCGACAACTAAATGACTAAACTGAAGGAGTCTCGAAAAAAGACAATTGAAATAGAGAGTCGAAAGACAACTTCTAGTTCTAGGGACGAAGAATTCGATAAATGGGGTTTAACTGGACTTTCTTCTAACGTATAAATTCATTCAAAAATCTTATACTAAACCAAAACAATGGTTTGTGTTGGATAATATTTACATTCGTAGTGAAAACTGAGAAGGTCATGAGTTCGAAACTACATACTATCTGACAGTGGACAAAATCTTTATAAAAAATTTCAGAGATGTCTCGCAGTTTACTATTTTCGCTCCTAATTTATAGTAGAGAAACATGATATTTGACGGCTCAAGATAGGGTGCATAACCATGGGTTATGCACCCATCAATAACCAAATCTGGACCCTTTATTTAGAAAATTCAGACTTAAGGAAGAAGAATTAAAGACCATTTTTATTTTTTCTAGCTTTCTTAATTGACTCATATCTTTTTCGTTTTAACTCGGATTTTAATTTTTTTTTTGCACAGATGAAACGAGTTCATCGTGCTCTACAAAATGAGATCAATTTTCAATATTTTTTGAGAAACAAATAATTCTGGCCTCTCGGTACCAACTGCATACCATATGGTATCTTCTTCGTTTTTAATTCGTTTTTGAAAAAGTTTGCACAGAAGGGACGAGTTCATCATGATCTATTGGATCTACAAATTTCTAGGTGAACAAATTACAGGACCAAAAAATACCACACAATACCATACAATACCACCCTGGTACGGGGTGGTATTGTATGGTATCTTCTTCGTTTTTAATTCGTTTTTGAAAATGGTTGCACAGAAGGACGAGTTCATCATAATCTATTGGATCTACAAATTTCTGGGTGAACAAATTACAGGACCAAAAAATACCACACAATACCATACAATACCACCCTGGTACGGGGTGGTATTGTATGGTATCTTCTTCGTTTTTAATTCGTTTTTGAAAATGCTTGCACAGAAGGACGAGTTCATCATAATCTATTGGATCTACAAATTTCTGGGTGAACAAATTACAGGACCAAAAAATACCACACAATACCACCCGGGTAGGGGTGGTATTGTGTGGTATACAATGTTAAAAGTCGTAAATGACAATTAATATACTTCTACTATCATGTATTCAACCATCCTACAGTCTTGGTTTGTTCATACCACCATGGTATGTTTTTCAAACCATAGGTATGCTTTTATTTCAATAACAGTCAATACCATATGGTATAGACTGGTAAAAAATGGCTCAATTTCTTTTGTTTGAAAAATATATTAAAGTGGATATCATTTTGAAGAGCACAATTAATCTGATCTAACTGTGCAAAAAAAAAATTAAATTTCGACTTAAAATGAGTGAGAAATCGTCCGTCAAAGATTAAAGAGGGAAAAATTAAAGGCTTTCCAGGAGAGAGAGGATGCTGATGTCATGCTGATTTGGACGGGTTACTCACCATAAGATTACTGACCTGATCCATTCCCATATTTGACCCACATATTAGTTATGGTTATTAGTTTCAAATCCACTTTCCAATTCCATCGCCAAACGGCCACACCCCAATGAGCTGATTGATCATAAGATTAAACACCTCCCCCTGATTAGAGCCATGATTTAACCCCGGATTAAACGCCGGTAATCTTACCTAACCTACTCCCACATCTACACTCTCTCACAATCACACACAAACTATAATATCAGACTCTTTTTTTTTTTTTTTTTTGTAGCAATATCAGACTCTTCTTGTGAAGCAAGATAGAACTATAATATGCCAACTAGGCCAACAGGGTTGCCAGCCCAGCAGCCCACTTGTCAACATGGCTTGGCTTGGCTTGGCTGCCTTCCAAAAATATTAAAATAAATAATTCCCATTGGCATTGGCCACGCCCCCAAGTTAAAGATAAATATCGGCTTTATCTTCCCCTTCTCTCTCATACGTGGAAATTAAGGTTAGGCCAAAAGAAGGGAAGTTCGTAGTACGTACCATCTCTGTTCCTTCCTTCCCGTGTGTGAACATGTCCTCCAATCGCAGCAGTCTAATTATTATTCTAATTACCACACATTTTATTTAGTTCCACTAATTCTTATTATAATATACTCCAACGTGATTATGGTCATGATCATGATGAAGACCAACCACCCCTTTTAACACCCAATCCATCTTTGTTCCCTTTTGTTTATCTCAACATGGACCAATAGTAGGTTCCTTCCACACTCCTTGTTTCTGTCTTTTATCATAAATCTCAACATGGACCAAATGTCTCATTATCAAAAAAATCTACTACTATAAAGATCGATCCTTAACTAGTTACCCATTGCAATAAACCTGTTAATTAACTCATTTACTCAGTAATCTTGAGATAAGAATTGGATTAGACAAATGCACGACAGTACAAAATGATATAGGAGGAAAATGATTGTTAAATATTCAACTATTATTTTTCAATTAAGAGTTAAAAAGACCCTAACTTTTCAGCTATCTTGAGCTTCTTTGTCTTGTGATATACAAATTGTGATGGTCTTTTTCCTTTTGTGCAACTTGTTATCCACCTTCCTCTTCCCTTCCTTTTTCTCCTATCTCCACATCACCAACAGATTCTAAAATCTACAATTAAAAAAAAAAAGATGGGAGAAAAGAGAAAGGGAAATTACAAGAACAAAAATTACCCACAAGGATGAGAAAGAAAAAGGGAAATTACAAAAAAGAAAAAGTGAAAAAGATTGGAACTTTGTGTTTGTGATGAGATGCTACAAAGCTCCAATAATCCTCTGTTTTTTACTGCATTCAAACGCCACCATCTCCAACTCCCTCACCGACCTCTTCCCATTACACCCACCGTCGCCGCCGCTCCCGGGAAGTTTAAATATGTTTACCCCGAACAACCGGACCATCTGAACCGGCTGGACCATCGAGCAAACCGCCTGGTTCGGCCCAACCCCTCCCCTGGGCTTCCAGTCGATGTACAACTGCTGCTGCTCCTGCCCGGCGGCGGATCTCTGGAAGCTGACAATGTCGCCGGCTTTCAACCCCTTCTCTTTGACAAACCGGCTCCACCCTTTCGTCAGCACGTAGCTCTGGCTGCTGTTCCAGTACGAGTACCGGAACCGCCACACCTTCCCCGCCGCGTCCTCGAAATTCAGCAGCACCCCTTTCGTGCTGCCGGCGCTCTGCAGCGGGAAATGCTTCTCGGCGTGCTGCTTAGGGATCACGAGCCGGTTCAATTTCCCGACATCGCTCGGGGTAACCGCCTTTTCGAAGAGCTGCTCTCGGGCCGACCGGACGAACCGGTCCGACCCGGCATTCGAATTGAACCGGATGCTCTGTTTCATCCCCTGCCCTTTCCGGCGGCTCTGCTCCAGCTCGTCGTCGTAGGTGTGCTTCCGCAGCATGTCGACGATCTCGGCCTTGGAATGGGAGTTGAGGAAGTTGGCCTCCAGCTCGACGTCGCCGTCCAATTCGTCGCCGGCGGCGGCTGGGTTGTTTAATTTAAAATCCGGCTTGAAATTGGTGACGGCGTCGCGGCCGCGGAAGCGGAGGGCGGCTATGTCGTAGGCCCGTGCGGCGTCGTCCTCGCCGTTGAAGGTGCCGAGCCAGACGCGCTGGTGCTTCTCGTAAATCTGGGCCCCCCACCGGCCGTTGGGCTGGGGGACGACTCCCTTGTACTTGGAGGACGGCAGCTTGTGGGACTCTGCTTCGATCCCGCCGGATTCAGGGTCGAGGATGACGCTGCTGGCGCCGCTGCCGACGCGGCAGAGGGATTCCGGCGGTGGGGACTTGGCGGTGGGAAAAGGGAGGAGGGCAGGCGGCGGTGGGAGTGGGGAGGTGGAGTCGGTGCTGGTGGTGCTGTTGTCGTCGGTGGAGGAGGAACTGATTCCGTCCATTGTGAGTTGGAAAGTTTGAATTTTTAGAGAGAGAGAGAGAAAGGGGTTGACTGCTGAGAGAGGAAATGGGAGACGTTGTAGTTGTTGTTGGAGAGGATGGGATGAGAGTGTTTGGGAGGGTGGAAATTGGACGTCCGGTATATATAGGAAAGAATTTGTGGAACATAATGGGGAAAAAAGGAAAGGCTTTTTTGGTTATGGTTTGTATTGTTTTATTTTATTATAGTAATGAGTTAGGATGGACTATTTGCTTCTTGGGTTGTTTATTGTTATTGTTGTTTTTCTCTTTCTTTTTGTGCATTTGGATTTGGCTTTTTTTTTTTTTTGGTGTGAAGGTGGAGAGGTAATTATTAATAATAATGTTATGGATGGATTGTAGTGATAAAGGAAAGATATGTTTGGGAGAGGGGAGTTTGAGTAGAAAGGGGGTTGGTTATTGGTTAAGGATGCAAATAAGGGGGGAGGGTGGGTGGGTCAACCCAAACTCCCAACTCAAGTAGTCATCACTCAAAATGAAACATAAAGGACACTAAAATTTGAAAGTGGGAAGTCTCCAATTTAAATTATGAAAATTGGATATCTTTCCAACAAAAATATGGTGAGAACATGACTAATAAGTATGATTGTCTAATTTATATAGTTACCGAATATAATTTAAAGACTTTAATAGTGTCGTATATACATCTATAAGTTAAACGCACATCTCGACCAATTAGCTACCAGCCGTGTGGTGAATGATCGAAGGATGCGCCATGGCACATACAGACTAGGTTCTCTACAACAAAATCTCTATCTTGATATATATATGATTAAAGCTAATCTCTCACTCAATTTAACGAGAGGATTTTGGCGAACAATTCGGGTGTTGATTTGAACGTGGATGTGTGTAGTAGGCTTGCTGAATAAGTTAGAGCAGAACCTTTACCGGAATAAGCTTGTATTATTACTCATTTAAACCTAGTTTTGAAACCAATTTGAGGCCATTTGAACCCTCCATCAGCTAATCTCCATTGATGATTCCACCTTTGAGAATGGGTATGAATTGATCCACTGGATAGAACCTCCTAATAAATCTAGATTTGTTTATTATTAAATTAATGTACTATACAAACTTGATCAAACTAATCTAGGACATAAATGTTGATAAAGGAGACGATACAAATTTATTTAGGACGATGAGTGGACAAAACCTCTTGTTACAACATATGATGCTTCACTAGAAAAGTCATGGTGTTGTGTTATAATTTTCTTGTTTTGGGCTAATCTTTGGTCGACATTGTTTTAGCCAAATATGGTTGTGATTCATCACAACATTTCTTTTGTTTCTTCTGCGTAATTTCTTTTGCCAAGTTGGATGGGGATGGGGATGGAGATATGGAGGTGATGGGGATGGAGATGGTCATGGGATGGCATTGGCAACTAATAAGGAAGGCGAGTGGAAGCCGGAAGGAAGAAAGGAATTAATTAATAATTAGAGGGAGAGAGTGTACTTCATGGTTGGGCCGGCATGTAGACCGGTACAACCGGTTCAATGAAAATCGATTGGAATGTTCTCGATACGATTAACATGATTCATTTTCTTTTTAAATAAAATGATGTCATTTTGATGAATTTAATTAATATAAAAATTAATTGATTTATTGAATTTAAAAGTTAAATGTTGATGTTGTAATGTTGTAGGGGTGGCTATACGGTCCGGTCCGGTTAAATTGGACCAAATTGATCCGGTCTCAGTCCGGTCTTTTCGGGAATATAAGGACCAAAGATTGGATTGGATACACTCCGGTCTTGATCCGGTCCGGTCTTGACCCGGTCCGGTCCCAATTTGATTTTGATTTTAGATTGAGCTTGTGGGGATTTGAGTGTTGTGGTCTCTTATCCGGTCTTTATCCGGGTTTTTTTTACCTCAAATCTAAGCCCGAATATGAGATTAGATTGTTTGCTATCCGGTCCCAGTCCTGTCCCGATCCGGGTTATACGGTCTAGTTTCGGGGAAAACCAAACAGTCCTGGACAAAATTGCCAGCCCTATAATGTTGTTTGTTGAATTTATATACGAATGATATTTTTTTGGATTCAAGTATAAACTTTTGGATGTTGGCGTTAAATGTGGTATATAAATATAATAATTAATTTTAATTTTGTTTAGAATGCGGTATTTTATTCAAATATTGAAGCAAATTTTTTCTACATGCTCGCATTAAACCAGTATGAGCTGACATTAAACGATTATACCACCGGTCGAAGCATACCATTTACCAAACCAGTATAACGGTATAAACCGATTTGATATTTCGTAGTGTTGAGTAGTGAAATGTAATTATGCCATATTGTGGACCTACAAGAAGGAAGGAGTGCATACATATATCCCATGTTGATGGGGTTCACATGAGTCGTGGGCCGTGTATTTACTGTGTTAGTTCTGCTGCTGCTGCTGCTGAGGTTATCTAGCCAGCCAGCCAGGTTCATCCCCCTGTTTTCTTGCCCCTCATCTCCACCACCATAAATCATGATTCCCGCTTACTGCTTCCTGCTGCTTCGATCTCTTCTGCTTCTTCTTTGCTGCTATTATATGGTTCCCTCCAATCCCGGCTAGACTGCCAGTAGCCCTGCCTCAAATACCAGTATGGTCTCCTCACCCCCTCAAAAAATTTAATCTTCCCCATACCATCCCCAATCTTTATTTTTCACATCTATGCACCTCCTCCATCTTTGATATTCGTAAGGTTGGTGGGTGATCATGTTGTTGAGGAATGAGGTCGTCCACAATTTTGGGTGCATGGAAAATGAGATAACTTATCTTTTTCTATTTGATGTTGAAGTTAAAGGAATAACAATGAGGTAAGGTATGGTGGTACCTCAATACTATAGTATTATTGGCTTCTTCTTGAGTGTGCATGGGTCATGTAAGGTGTTCACAGGTCGAGACATTCCGACCCATCTTCATAAGTGACTACAAGAAAATAAATGTGCAAAATCTCAAAATTTATTTTTTTTACATTAGAAACAAGTCAGAGAATTGCATGATCAGTAAACCGAAATTATCTCAAAGAGTTGAACCTGGTTGTCACTAAATTGTTTATGTAGCTGTATTGGAGATAGGACGGACCGAAATAGAGTGAGGGAATAAGGTCCACGAGCTACCCCACGCCACGCTATAACAAATAGATACATGCATGAATTGCCACATAGCATGAGCGTAGATCGGGTCCAAATTGTTATCCGTATTAAAGGTTGTATGCTATATGTGCAAACACCAAACAATATATGTTACTTACTTGTTACTAATACTACCCATCACTGTTCTTACCCCAATGGAAAAATAAATGCATTGGTGTACTTTGCCCTTAGAGAACAGGATATTAGCAAGCTGGGTCGTGCGTGCTTAGGTGTGTCTATATGTTTTGGAAAGTTAAATAATGCACATGAACAACAATCCAAAAAACACAAACAAACATATATATAGCCGTACGTACTAAGATAAGCATAAGCACTACTACAAATATCTGTTAGTTTCAAGCTGCTTTAATTTACAGAATGAAAATTATATAGTGGAAATAGTACACCTATGTCGACATACCACAATCCTCAATTAAATTAAGGACGTGTTCGATTTTGCATTGCCAATCAAGTTTAATGGGCCCTTCAAGCTACGCCAATGGCACCCTTTTCTTTTGATATTCATACAAAATCTGCTGCATTATTATTATTTGTTGGATGTTTAAATACTTTTAAATAATTAATGCTCTTCATTAATACAGCAATTATAGTGCAGAGAGGAGAGAAAATCAGCTTCTCCGCCTAGCCATAAGATTTGATGGGTTCGAAAGAGAAAGCTTTGGCCCCTTGTGGGATTTTCTCTCCTTTTCTCCCTTTGTTACTTACTTGGCTTCTGTTCTCTTCCTTCCCACTAGAATGGGAAGTGGGCCTGAAAAAAGATTAGATAGAAAGGAAGAAATTTTTTTGCCTTAGTAGCAACAGCAGCGTGGAAAACTGGCAGATGGATAAACATGAAAAAGATAATATGCATGGGTTTGGACATGACACGGGAGAGAAGACCAGAAAGACGGAGACAAAGAAAAGGGGCATATCCTCAGCCAACAAGAAAATTCCCATAAGAGCAGAACATGGTCACAAAAGGCTAAATCGGCAGGCGGTATTTAAGGTTACTAACAGTTCAATTATTATTTTGCCATAAAATATTATGACGCTGAATTTTCTAGTACAATGTCCAGTATAATTTCATGGATCATGGTAAACAGAGAAAGCAAGAGAGGGATACGAAATAAGCCTGATGAGGTTGCTATATAGTTAATATGTTGGACGAAACTTCAAATTGAAAACCAACGATATACAACCAATAAACTAAGGGATCGTTTGGAAGTTGCGAATGTTAAATCGTTGCATTGTAATGAGTCACCATAATATAAATGTATATATTGATACAATGGATGCATTTTACCAATACATTGTTTGGTTGTTGAGATTCTACTTTATGCATTGATTTACATAAAGTTACTTTTATAGGGAAATGTCATATTTACCCTCAACTTTTAGCACAAGACAAAAACTATTAGGGATATAAATGGATAGAAAAAGTTGACACAAATCTAAAAGCAACAATCACAACTTTTAGTTGAGATTGTATAATGCATCATTTTTTGTGATTTTTTGTGGGACCTACCTAAAATAATGCATGCATTGTTTTACACTTTGACACTTCCAAATATTGTATTGTCAATTGTGCACAATACATATATTCAACAAACACAACTCTAACAATTACCAACTTTCAAACAACCCTAAATCTTTGTTATAGATCATAAATGGCTACATTTCATTCGTCCTTTTACTCATTTTTGTAATGTAACTTTTGGAGTGTGTCGGTCTGTCTTATTGGCAAGGTTCACCTTAGTGTATCTATCTTTCTATCTGATTCTCTGATCCGATGATAAATATGCCCCATCATCCCCCACTAGCTACAAAACATTTATAAAATCCAACAAATATAATACAAAACAAAACTGAAATAAATTGGCATCCTCACTCCTGTTCTTTCTTCTTCCTTCCTTAAAAATCATCATCCATCCATCCATCCATCCCACTATTTAG